TTCACTAGGCACTATCATCAAACTGCCTATCCTTCCCTAAGCTACAGTCTGTAGACAATAAACAAAAGCCTAAATTACATATGTGTATCTAATTATGCAAAATGAGTTTGGTTTAGTTTGTTTTTACTGAAATCATTTTTTTGAAGTGTGGGGTAAGAAGTAGTAGGCTTCTTTAAATAGGTAGGATAGGACAAAGAAAGTTAAAAATAAATAAAACAATAACTAATTTCTAGAAAAGTCATGTCATGAGACTAATCTTATCACAGCTTCTATAAGGAAACCTGAATGACTGTGATGAAATGTGTTGCAGATGAGCAGCAAAAGAAAGTTGTTGGAGGAAGCCTACTACAGTGACTGCAGTATGAAATATTTTAACAAGGTGTGAAATACAACCTTGCAAGTTAGACATTACAGCATCTTGAGTAGGCGTTCTGCACTTGTTTTTGAGTGAAATCACAGCTATACACTGACTGGCTAGTTCTACCTCTCTGCCTGTCACTGATATCAGGTAAACATTCATTCAGATTCCCTACACTTATGTTCATGAATTTGTTCCCACATCAAGGAAGTTGTTTACAGTCTGACTCTGTATAAAAAAGGCTGTTCAGTAGCAAGGAGAGGCTGGTCACCTGCCTGGCATGTAATGTTCTTATATGAATTACATGCTTCACAAATGATTTGATTCACATCGCTGCCCCTGCCTGGTTCTAAAACAGAAGACCCTATTGCCTTTTTTTGTGCTATTACACAAACAAGGATCAGCCTTAGTCCTCTTCCCAATAGGTGTTTCAAAGTTGTTATTGTATGTTTACTTTCAAACCTAAACTTCAAGTGAAAGTGATTAAAAGAGAAGGCTTTAGGCAAAGCCTTGTTCTCTGGTAGTGCTAATTTCACACTAGTTAGAGGAAGGGCCACCCAGATTATGAGCCAGCAAGTAGAACAAAGCCTTTCATCAGACATTCTCAGAACAGTAGAGCTGAAGTACCCACCCTGGGCAGTTGTCCAACTCTAATGGTGAACTCATCGAAGGAGGAGGCGGATATGCAGATGACATGAATTTAAGCAAACTGCACAAGATGAAGGGTGTTGCAGCACCACAATGCTACAGCACTCATCTCAGATATGTCTTGACAGAATGACTTGCCAACATGCATTTGAAATATTATCAGGCTTCATGTTCAGGGCTGGAGGCAGTATTTTGTAACATCATTTTGTATACATCTGTAAGTGAAGAGATGTTATTTTGATGATGAGGAACGGTTTACAGATTATGATGGGCGGCGGGTAGCCTAGCGGTTAGAGGATTGGGCTAGTAACTGGAAGATCGCTAGCTCGAAGACACAACCCTAATTACTCCAGGGGTGCTGAACAATAGTGACTCTGGCCATGACCCCACTCTCCGAGGGCGTCTCAGGTGGAGTGTGGATATGCAAAACACACATTTCCAATTCATACATGCATATTAATACACACTTGTACATGTGTGCAATTCGACAAATATAAACACCCACCAAATTATTATTTGATTATGGTTGCGGTTATCAGTAGAAACATTTCAGACAATGTACCTGGGCACACACACACACACAAAGAAATTTGATTAACTGACACAAAACCTACTTGAAACATAAACAACATCTAATAACCCTCAGCTCAGTTTGTCATCATGTGGTTGTCTTGACTGGTAATGTTTTACTCTACCATTGACACTGTTTAATAAGCATAATTCAAGCTCAATTGCGCAAATCTCAGACAAGACAGAAGTCGCTGCATCTTTGAATAGCTGACAGCTGGAAAGTAAACTAAAGACAACCCAATTTATTCCAAATGAAGTATTGGATAATCATGTCCAGAATGTGTTTGAACCTTGAGAAAATAAAAATAGATGAACAGAGACCTACAACTACTTAAAAACGTTCATTCTTGGTTTGGTCTGAGCTGTTTTTTTCTGCATGGCATATCTCCAGCTAAAATGCAAGACCGGTATTCCTATGATACCACACCAAGTTAGGGAGGTAGACACCTGGTGATGTTTCACCAGCCAAATGGATACAGGTTTATGGATAGATAAATGTAGTCAATACAAGGGTAGTAATTATGATGTCCCATTACACGTCTACAGTTTCCCTCTTCATTATTCCTTCAACTGGAACAAAGTGTGAGGGAAAACTATTAAATAATACTGTAAGTTGTGCTGTATTCAACACTATTCTAATGTGAAAACCTATTTGCCAGTGTTAGTTGGCACAGACCTGTGTAGCCTTTATTAGCTTACTACATTAAGTTGACTGCACTCTCAAACAGTGCCCTTACAAAAAAGATTGCAGTTAGAGTGCAGTATAACTGCATTGCAGTTATTCTGCAATTACTGCGTCCAAAAACACCAGTCGACTGCAGTTAATGCACTTTTACTGCAGTTTCAAAACTGCAATCTTTTTTTGTAAGGGTCATCAAATAAATGTTTTGAAGGGGAGGATTAAATTGATACACAAGACAACGTAGCGAAAGCAATGTGCACCACCAGGAGATAAATCTTACCTTTCTAACTGATGCTGAAGGCTTAAAACGAATGTGATCAGGAAATGTTGACATCAATTCCCAATGGAAGTGTAGTATTGTTACCCTATCAAGTACAGGCTGCACGAAGCCTATCCTGTGTTACAATGTAGGCCTATCTAATTTAAGAGTTCACCTCCGATTTCGGATTCACTATAAAAATGGCATACATCGCATGTTGTAAAAACACAAGACCTCTCATTGCACTTTCAGTAGCCTTGGCTTCAAGTAGGCCTAGTAAATGTGAGCAGGAAATAACTTCGTTTCACTGCAGCCTCAGTGAAAATATATGTGGTCGTTATACGATAATGTAATCCCATCCTGAGAAAAATGTAACATGTTGCAGTTACAGCTGTCGAGAGAAACAAATCCGCTAAACAGCTCCATATGTTGAGACACATTTATTACGGTAACTTTCGAAAAAATTCAACTTACCAGTGTCTGCGCTTCACTTTATTCCTTGGTGTTTCGTGAAGAAGCGCCCTATCAAAAGCGATGACAATTGGTTGATTTCTTAAAAGAGCTCACTAAATTGAGTTGACTAAACCTGTTTGATGCATTTGTTGCATTAACACTCTTCACAATGTAACATCACTTCCCGTTCAGTTGAAGTAAGCCAGCCCCTCCCTCTCTCGCCAACGCATAAAAGACCTCCGTGGGAGTTCGGAACGGAAAAATACCTTTCCTGCGCAGGAGTATTATTTTGGAACTAAAATGTGAATGTTGTGGCTTGAGAAAAAGAGCTGTCGATCCTTTAAAATGCTGGTGTTAAAAACAAGTTAGAAAGTTAGGAAGGATGTTATAAGGTACATGTGTAGTGGATTGTAAAGAACTTGCAGTCGGATAATTTTCCTCAGTTATTTGATTGCATAGGGTGGTACATATAATATAATTCCCTACCTGATCCACAGGTGCTTTACTTCTAACAGTAATAAGGGCAAAATGAGGACACCAAGTGGTTCCTTGAGCAAAGTTCAACCTGTGGTGGCGGTGATAAGATATTCTTGCTGACAATACTGTAGGCTTGACATTTACAAACCTACCCTGACATATAGTAGTACAAGGGATTTTATTTGACATTCAATTCACATGATCTGTAATTTACACACAAAACCACAAATCAACTGAAATTATTAATTGACAAACACTTCTGCTAAGGCCACTGACTGTCCCACATTCTCCTACACAGTTCTATTGACTTCAGACTGTCCAGGACTCTCAGGCACATTGTTGCTGTCTCCAGACTGTCCTTGGCTCTCGGGCCTCCAATTGTCCTCCGGTTGACTCAAAGTCTCTGGAAGATAGTTATTGTGCTGGGGCTCAAACATGGGTCTATATGTATATATAAACACCCCCAGCAACTCCTAGCACAGTGGCCAAGGCTATCTGTGCAAAAGGTATCCTTCGTCGAAACATGTTCTCTCTGGATCAGGAGTCCCACCTACACTTGCATCGTTGATCCTGGAAGAATAGAAGAGATTACCCAAAAGTTTTGCCTTGCATTGTCACTGATGTTGTACATTACGTTTTTGCAGGAAGCACACATAAAGCCTTCATCATGGGGCACAATTGTGCAGTAGAATGTCCTATCATGACATACACGATATGCCACATTTTAAATCACGTGACATTACCAAGCTGCTACATATACAGAGGAGGAAATGTAAGCATTTGTAAAACATTGTGTGCATGATACAGTATTAGTAATGTAAACTCGAACCTCAGCTAGATACAGCATGCCATAATAATGACATGAATCCTGTATGTCCCTGTGGTGGTATGTCAGATTCTTTGTAACATGTGACATTGCAAATCTCCCCACTACACTTTTACACGAATGCTAATTGGTTATCCTAACCTGCTGCGTAAATTCTAACCTGTTACAAAAAGTAAATTTTTACCAAAAGCTATAACGTTATGCCTTCTATACAAAACTGTGGGTTGTTAGCCATAGCTAGCTAACTAGCTAGTGAGACACACATCTTATATTGGTTTCATAATTGTTTTTAACATAACTCACCACGATCTTTTATGAAGTGTGTGGAGACCAAAACGTCTAGCAATTCCAACAATTAAACAACTGACGTTGGCTAGCAAGCGACATTTGGTTTAAGTGCAAAGGTCGAACATGCATCTACGGCGAATGAAAGGGGACAAGATGAACGACAACAATAAACTGAAATGCGATTCCCCATAAAATGCATATTATAATTGATAAAATAAATGGTATGTTCTATAAGTGGTACAGATAACATTCTAAGCTGTATAACTTTACATCACCGATATGTAACACACGAATGTTATCTTGACAATCGCATATCCTTTGCAAGGAAACGACTGACGTCATCTACCTACGAGCACAAACACGGAACTAATGTGGATTTTGGTGCTGCTCGAATTAGCTACATTCTCTAATATGTAGTTAGTTTTAGTTTATCTAAGTGATGGAAAAGATTCGTGCACGCTTAAATATCGGAAGCAAAGCAGAGCCTGTTAAACTGAGGAAACGAAAATCCCAACTATATAGTAAAGAAGATACATGTCCTCTTGATAATGGTATATGTCCTGTTTGGTATAGCAGCTATCATACAGTGGGGGAAAAAAGTATTTAGTCAGCCACCAATTGTGCAAGTTCTCCCACTTAAAAAGATGAGAGAGGCCTGTAATTTTCATCATAGGTACACGTAAACTATGACAGACAAAATGAGATTTTGTTTCTCCAGAAAATCACATTTTAGGATTTTTAATGAATTTATTTGCAAATTATGGTGGAAAATAAGTATTTGGTCAATAACAAAAGTTTCTCAATACTTTGTTATATACCCTTTGTTGGCAATGACACAGGTCAAACGTTTTCTGTAAGTCTTCACACACTGTTGCTGGTATTTTGGCCCATACCTCCATGCAGATCTCCTCTAGAGCAGTGATGTTTTGGGGCTGTCGCTGGGCAACACAGACTTTCAACTCCCTCCAAAGACTTTCTATGGGGTTGAGATCTGGAGACTGGCTAGGCCACTCCAGGACCTTGAAATGCTTCTTACGAAGCCACTCCTTCGTTGCCCGGGCGGTGTGTTTGGGATCATTGTCATGCTGAAAGACCCAGCCACGTTTCATCTTCAATGCCCTTGCTGATGGAAGGAGGTTTTCACTCAAAATCTCACGATACATGGCCCCATTCATTCTTTCCTTTACACGGATCAGTCGTCCTGGTCCCTTTGCAGAAAAACAGCCCCAAAGCATGATGTTTCCACCCCCATGCTTCACAGTAGGTATGGTGTTCTTTGGATGCAACTCAGCATTCTTTGTCCTCCAAACACGACGAGTTGAGTTTTTACCAAAAAGTTCTATTTTGGTTTCATCTGACCATATGACATTCTCCCAATCCTCTTCTGGATCATCCAAATGCACTCTAGCAAACTTCAGACGGGCCTGGACATGTACTGGCTTAAGCAGGGGGACACGTCTGGCACTGCAGGATTTGAGTCCCTGGCAGCGTAGTGTGTTACTGATGGTAGGCTTTGTTACTTTGGTCCCAGCTCTCTGCAGGTCATTCACTAGGTCCCCCCGTGTGGTTCTGGGATTTTTGCTCACCGTTCTTGTGATCATTTTGACCCCACGGGGTGAGATCTTGCGTGGAGCCCCAGATCGAGGGAGATTATCAGTGGTCTTGTATGTCTTCCATTTCCTAATAATTGCTCCCACAGTTGATTTCTTCAAACCAAGCTGCTTACCTATTGCAGATTCAGTCTTCCCAGCCTGGTGCAGGTCTACAATTTTGTTTCTGGTGTCCTTTGACAGCTCTTTGGTCTTGGCCATAGTGGAGTTTGGAGTGTGACTGTTTGAGGTTGTGGACAGGTGTCTTTTATACTGATAACAAGTTCAAACAGGTGCCATTAATACAGGTAACGAGTAGAGGACAGAGGAGCCACTTAAAGATGAAGTTACAGGTCTGTGAGAGCCAGAAATCTTGCTTGTTTGTAGGTGACCAAATACTTATTTTCCACCATAATTTGCAACTAAATTCATAAAAAAATCCTACAATGTGATTTTCTGGAGAAAAAAAATCTCAATTTGTCTGTCATAGTTGACGTGTACCTATGATGAAAATTACAGGCCTCTCTCATCTTTTTAAGTGGGAGAATTTGCACAATTGGTGGCTGACTAAATACTTTTTTCCCCCACTGTATTTCTAGCAGACTGAGCAAATGTCAAACTGATGTTGATGATAAAAGTAAGAATGGAAGCGAAGTTTACATTGCTTATTTTGAAAGACAAACGCTAGCTTAGCTAGCTACATCAACTTAAATTGAAGTAGGCAACAGGTGATCCAGGAGCATGCAATTGTACTTGCAGTTTCAGAATGCTTCAGTCTTTCAAATGACTGGTTGATAATGCATTTAATTACCAATGCACATCTAACACAGGCAGCCTAACTGGTGGAGAGATATCTGACATGTTTTTATTTTCTTCTTCTCCTTAGGTGTATTGGGGGTCAGTGTCTTCACTGTGGCATTTCGTCTCATTAACTGCTTCCTGGTCCAGACCAGCTTTGTCCCAGATGAATACTGGCAGTCCCTCGAAGTCGCTCACCTTATGGTTTTTGAATATCCTTGTAACAAAAATCATTTGAAACTTTAAGTAGTAACCTTCTAATAACTGTCTTGTGGACAATAGTATGTGTATTCTGCTAAATCCTTAATAACTTCACCTATGGCTATTTGACGTGGGAGTGGACAGCAGGTATAAGAGGGTTCTCCTACCCTCTTTTCTTTGGAGCTATATATAAGATATTGCACTTCTTCACCTATGATGCAGTTCAACTCTTGGTAAGTCATATTTGTACATCATCTTTTGCAGCAACTTATAGTGCTGATGCAAAATGCATTGGATGTGACCCCATTGTCAAAATCTGTACGGTATATATTGTGGATTCTGCAGGTATGGCTACCTCGAGTTGTGCAGGCACTGCTTGCTGCATTGGCTGATATTAAACTCTACTGTCTTATCCAATCACTGGAGCATTCTGACGTTGCCAAATGGACGGTAAAAACAACATGCACTTCTTTGTGTCTCATATCCTTTTGACTTATTGTAATTCTGGGTTTGTGGGCTGAAACCTTGTTACAAAGCCTCTTTCTCTTTTTTGTTGTTGTTGTTGTCACTAGTACCTCTGCCAGCTCAGTTCTTGGTTCACATGGTACTGCTGCACCAGGACCCTGACCAACACCATGGAGACCACACTCACAACTCTGGCTCTCTATTACTATCCTCTGCCTGGCTCTAAAACACACAACAGGTAGGACCTACACAACTCCAACATAAAACCATTTCACATAGTGTGCATCTGTAAGTATTTCCCACTACACGGCAAGTTACAAAATGCCTTTACAAAAAGTATTCCTTTTAGTAACACTCCGTTAACAACATTCTGTTTAAAACTGATTTTGCTTGTTTTCTTTCGCAGTACAAAATATTTGATCCTGGTTGCCTTGGCAGTCATTGTTCGTCCGACAGCCTTGATTGTGTGGCTTCCTCTGTTGGTGTACCACTTCTGGCAGGAAGATAACAAGCTGAAACTCATAACTCACCATTGCCTTCCCATTGGGTGAGTGCTATGATTTGATAAAGACCATTGTGCCTTAGCTGCAGAGTGAGGTTTTCACGACATACATAATGTATTCTTCAATTATTGGATGAGCCTCTCCTTCATATAGGGCTTTAACTCTTGGGATTTCAACTCTGATTGACTGCATGTTCTATGGAAAGGTAGGAAAAGCATTGTTTAAAAATAAAATTTTAAAATAGGTAATTATAAATCAGAAGATGTAATGTCTGTGTTAATTAACACAAGTGCCTTAAACCATTTTCTCTCGCAGTGGACCCTGGTGCAGTACAACTTCCTGATGTTTAATGTTTTTCACAACGTGGCTGAGTTCTATGGCTCTCATCCATGGCACTGGTACTTTACTCAGGGCTTTGTGGTCGTCATTGGCCCTCATCTTCCTTTCTTCCTATATGGATGCACACTGGCTTCAAAAAGATACAGAATCATGTTAATAACAGTAGTCTGGACATTAATGGTTTACAGGTATGGTCTTTTTCTTTTGTCTTTCTATGTTGTGTGACATGTAAAATGCACTTACTGTAATTTATGGGCCAAAAACATCTGTACATTAGACTGTTCATATCATAAGGAATTTCAGAATTTGCATGTTTTTCTTCTCCATGCAGTTGTCTTGCGCACAAGGAGTTCAGATTCATCTACCCTGTTTTGCCTTTCTGCATGGTATTTTGTGGTGAGTGCTACAATTTCCAGAAAGATTCCAATGACTGCAAGTAACCAAACTGCTAACGTACAGTCATACCCTATGCACGACATGGGGTCCTCGTTTATTGCAGGGATAGCTTTGGTGAATCTGAGAACCTGGAGACGGCCTGCCGCATGTGCCTTATTGGTCTCCAACCTAGTCCCAGCCCTGTACACAGGTCTGCTTCACCAGCGAGGCACACTGGATGTCATGGGTCACCTCCAGACCCTGTGTGACGACAGCGATCCCTCAACCCCTCCACTGCCTGAAGTCCTCTTTCTAATGCCCTGTCACTCTACACCTTTCTACAGGTAGGCAGTCCATTTTTTTCATGTTGTTTTTGCCTTATTTACTGATGGACCTTTTGCATGAGTAAGTGCTGTGACAAGCTTAGCTACAGAGGCAGTGCAGTAAATAATCAATATACATTGTTTTTGTAGTCACATCCACTGTCCAATGAAGATGCGTTTCCTAGAATGTCCACCAGATCTCACAGGAGACAAGAGCTATGTAGATGAAGCTGAGAGATTCTTTGCTGATCCTCATCATTGGTTGAGGACCTCATTCCCTTATAAGTCAATGCTGCCAACCCACCTCGTGTTCTTTGATGTTCTGGAGAAGGTTAGATACTCTGCATTTTGTAATTCAAGACTAATAATGACTAATGGAAAGCTCCTTCACTGTTACAATAATTTGTATTATTTGCTTTTTCTGTCCTCAGGAGATCTCTGCATTCTTGGACGGGAGTAGATTTATGAGAAGTACAGAAATATTCCACACTCATGTTCCTGAAGGACGAGTTGGAAAAAGCATCCTAGTTTATCAAAGGCACTGAACACAAAACACTGAAGAGAATACATTTGTAAGAAGCACAATGATTTTCCTTACTCATGTATCTTAAGGACGAGTTTGAAGAAGTATCCTAGTTTACAAAATGCACTGAACAGAACCATCTTGACCATTGGTACGAGCCATTGGGAAGTTAATCAAAATGGATCTGTATTGTAAAGGAATAAATTATCAAATGGAATAACGGATTGATCTTTTAAACGCTGAAAATAATGCAACACCTAGCCAGACAGTTCACTATATTTGGGGGGAAAAAGCAGTCAATATTCACTTTTTTTTATTGGGAAGCTGCAATTCATTTTCAACAGCACATCTGTAAATGAAAGGAAATAATCAGCCTTAGTAAAACAAGCCATAGTTGGAATGTTACTGAACAATAACTACTTCACTTGGGAAGCAAACTACAACACAGTTGCACCTTATCTCACCATTTTAAACAAATATGTAACGTAGTAGCAAATTATAGAAATTGACTGCGGAACCAGCTTCTTGCATTATTCAACACCATGTGAAAAAATAAAGTATTTCTCAGTGATTTTGCTACTTTTAAAGTTTTACTGCACACAACAGTATCAATGTCAGCAATTGTTTTTGCCATTATCAAATCGTCACCTTTGACAATTTGGAATTGAAATTAAAGTGTATTTGTCAGTGCATAACTTCTCAATGCCACTGACAAAAATACTATTTCTTTCCATTGTTGGATCCATCCAATGAATCATTATTAATTCACAATAGGCCTACATTTAAACAATTCAAATGGTAAACAGATTTTTTTTTAAACAAGGCCCAAAGAGAAGACATTTTGTGCAAATTACATAGTCAGTGATGGCTCTTAAAAATAACATGTAACAGCTGACCTGATTACAATGAATGTGTACTACAGAGTTAGGTACTGTAACATTTACTTACTGTATTCCCATGTTTAATTGCTCTAGTTAGTCATATTTAAAGACAATTTATGGATAAATCATTGTAGCAATAATTTTCTTTGTGCGCATGAGATTAGATGCATTCAGATACACCACCATTGCCACTAACCTAAGGATTGCTTACACAACACAGGAAGCAAGGGAACATTCAGGCAGCATTAAAAGAACATTGTGCAAAATCACAAAAACAGAAGAATAAGAAGTAAAAGGCTTTCCATCAAACACATCCTAAATAGACTTTGCAACTACAATATCAGCCATTATAAAAACGGATTCATTAGGTAAGAATATTCTCAATATTTGGGATCAAAGGGCATAGGACCCAACTCTATTTTTACATCAGCCATGTGTCTGTCTGTGTTCCGCCCTGCTCTGCTCCACTTCCTCTCTCTTTGTGGCCGGGGCCGGGCCCTCTGTTGATTGCGCTGCTGCTGCTTGGCCAGTCTCTCTTTAGTATCCGTATCTGGCCCCTCAAAGGGTCTACTGTGAGTTGACAAACAGAAATGTCAGAATATGTTAAAGTTTTACCCCCTCAAAATGATATGTTAACACAACTTCCTTTTGAAAAAACAGTTATGAAAACTATAAACTTACCTTGACCCATAACGTTTTGAGTAGGTATCTCCAAAGAAGTGCCTGTAGACATACTCGTCAAGATCTTCAAAGACGTCATCGTTGTGGCCATGGTATTCATCCATGTCCTCCAGGTAGTCTTCCACACCACTGACAAAGTCTGTGAACAGCATCTGATCGTGGATGAAGATGCCGTTGTGAAAGAAATTGTTAGTAAAGCTCTCCAGCTCAGTCCAGTGGTGGAAGTGGTCAACCTCCTGCTGGAGGTAGCTGTGAAGCAGCTGGTTGAACTCATCTGCTCTTATGGGGTCCATGGCTTTGTTGAAGAGGCTCATGGATTCTTGGTAGGCACAGTCGAAAACCCCAGAGCAACCTTTGGGCACTCCTCTTTGTTGGTTCTCAGCGTCTGGGTCCTCCTCAACTTTACCCCCTGACTTACGGGTGTTACGGTGTGCCTGGAAAGAGTCGTCAGTGGATTTACGAGGGTGACGATGCAGGGGCTTGTGGGTTCTGGGCTGCCATGGTTCCTCGTCTGAGTGCTTGTTTCCATGGTCTCTATGATGCTCCTGCTGCTCACGGTGCTCAGTCTTGGCATCCTTCCTCTCGTGAAACCTCCGATCGTGAGGCCGGTAAGTCTTGTCCATCATACGTGAAGCAGAGTCCTTGAAGTTGCGGAAGGTGGATTTCACAGAATCAGAGAACTTCCTCAGATTCTCCTTCACAGCCTCTTTGGCTTTCGTTATCTGCTCTTTGTGATGGTGCACAAACTCCTTGGTGGAGTTCTTCACTGCATCAAAAGTGTCTTTCACCTTCCCTATCACGCTGTCCTTGGGCTTCTTGACTTTGGCCTGCTTGTCTCCCTTGGCCCTCTCCTCTTTGGTTTCCACATAGAGCCTCTCCCAAAGGTCGGAGCGCTGCTGCTCAAAGCTCAGCTTCTTCTCCAACTCCATGAGCCGTGACTGCAGCTCCTCTGTCTCCGGGTCGGCCTCTCCTCCGACCCTGGTGTTGCGGCTGCTCAGCTGCTCCCTCAGCTGGTTGGTCACCCTCCGCTCATTATCCAGCTCCCTCCTCAGCGTCTGGGCCTCAGCCATCAGGGCCTCCCTCTGGCTCAGGAAGCTGCGGAGGCGCTGCTTCTCCTCCTCCAGGTGGTCCTTCAGCCTCTGGTTCTCAGACAGTATGGAGTCGGCCCCAGCCCCCGTGTCCTCCAGGTCTCGGATCTGGGAGCGCAGGTTCCTCAGCTCCTCCTGAAGGGTGGACAGGGACTCCTCCTCACGCTCCAGGGAGCTCTTCAGCAGCTGGTTCTCCACCATCAGGTGATTCTGCTGAGACTCAATCTTAACCCTCTCCTCGCCAGTCTGCTTCAGTTTCACGACCAAGTCTTCTTTCTGGGCCTTGTTTCAAAACAAAAATACATAATTTGTTATGTACCTACAAAAGGAGTATTAGCAAAACGCTTAACATACACTACCGTTCAAAAGTTTGGGGTGAGGAGTTTCAGAAGAAAGTTATTTGTTTCTGGCCATTTTGAGCCTGTAATTGAACCCACAATTGCTGATGCTCCAGATACTCAACTACATTTTACATTTTTTTTTTTTGTCTCAAGAAGCCCAGTTTTATTGCTTCTTTAATCAATCAGCACAACAATTTTCAGCTGTGATAACATAATTGCAAAAGGGCTTTCTAATGATCAATTAGCCTTTTAAAATGATACATTTGGATTAGCAAACATAACGTGCCATTGGAACACAGGACTGATGGTTGCTGATAATGGGCCTCTGTACGCCTATGTAGATATTCCATTAAAAATCTGCAGTTTCCAGCTACAATAGCCATTTACATTAACAATGTCTACACTGTATTTCTGAATAATTTGACGTTATTTTAAATGGACAAAAAAATAAATATTTCTTTCGAAAAAACAAGGACATTTCTAAGTGACCCCAAACTTTTGAACGGTAGTGTATGAACAACAAGGGGAACCGTAAGGCTTAAATTAATAATGAAGATGGTTAAAAGTGAAACAAAATTATATTTCTTCACATTCAGACAAATAAACGACAAATCAATTAATGGTGAATTTTGTTGCAGTATTTTAATCTTTAGAAATTAGTCCACATTCAATTTATATTGAAAGATCCACCACTAGTGTTACATTTGAACCGTAACTTGTACTTGCATGTTACCTGTAGCTGGGCCTGTTTGGATCTGAGATCCTGGTTCTCTTTAGTAAGCTTGTCCATAATCCCTGTGAGAGACAGCACCATGTCACTCTTGTCCTTTAGGTCTTCTCTCAGACTCTTAACCACGTCCTAAACGTGTGGAAACAGCATCACCAAAGTGAGCAAAAGCATTGCTATAAGATGAGAACCCTCTTAAACCTAATCTCACTCTACAGTTAAGTGGAGTGGCAAAAATGGTTCAAGGGGGCAAGAAGCCATCAAAAACAAAATCGTAGAGAATCCTTGCATATAAAAATATTTATTGAAGATGAATAGTCACGTAACATGGAGAGTTTAAATGCGAGATCACAACAGGATGAAAGGACAAAATATCAGTTGAAGGGGCCTCCAGAGTGGCGCAGTGGTCTAAGGCACTGCATCACAGTGCTAGCTGTGCCACTAGAGATCCTGGTTCGAGTCCAGAATCTGTTGCAGCCGGAGACCCATGGGGCGGCGCACAATTGGCCCAGCGTCGTCCAGGTTAGGGGAGGGTTTTGGCCGGCAGGGATGTTATTGCCCCATCGTGCACTAGCGACTCCTGTGGCGGGCCGGGCGCAGTGCACGCTGACACAGTCGCCAGGTGTACAGTATTTCCTCCGACACATTGGTGCGGCTGGCTTCCGGGTTAAGCATGCATTGTGTCAAGAAGCAGTGCGGCTCGGTTGGGTTGTGTTTCGGAGGACACACAGCTCTCGACCTTCGCCTCTCCCGTGTCCGTACGGGAGTTGCAGCGATGGGACAAGACTGTAACTACCAATTGGATACCACGAAATTGGGGAGAAAAACTGGTTTAAAAAAATATATATATATCAGTTGAATAACAAAGGAAGCACTATCTTCCTTTATGTGCAATCAGTGAAAGCATTGAGAAGAAGATTATGAAAGTATTTTTAACATTAGCATATGTGCTAACATGCACCTATAGGTACAGTGCGGACATATTTGAATGCAGCAACAAAAAAAAAGTTAACTATTAAAGCCTTATGTAATGAGTCTAAATACAACATCTGGAGTGAATCTGATGTATGGTTCATGAGGAAAATATGACTGCAGATGATTTTGAGCATTAGCATTACATATGCAAAGAATGAGTTGTTAATAGTTTCCTGGTTTGAGATATTTTAGCATATTAGCGTATACGCATCTACTAGTGTGGCCATCTTTGAATGCATCAACGTTATTAATAATAATAATAATTTGCCATTTAGCAGACGCTTTTATCCAAAGCGACTTACAGTCATTATTCACTCTTTAGGGACTATTTTGATGAGTCCAAAGACCACATTTGGAGTGAATCTGACTTTTAGTCCATGGGAAGATGTTTTAATTATTATTTTAAGCATTAGCATTAGTCAAAAGTGAAATTGTTAAGTTTCCTTATTCTTAAAGATATCAATGCTAAACTTAACATGGTTCATCATGGTAATGTCTTTGATGACCCTAAAAAGTTGATAGGCGATTGTGAAGTGGATTTACAAAGGATTTAAAATGGACACATAAAATCTGATTTCCTGATTATTAATAACTCAGCCATCTTTTAACCAATCCCTTAGCTTTTCTCAAACGAAGTTGGCCCTTCTGGTTTAAAAGTTTTCCAAAATGTTCAAGATGGAGCTAAATCTATCCTGATGGACTTTATGGGTCCTTGAGGCAAATTGGTTCAGCATAAGTAAAGACACCTACATACAAAGTTAAGTCTCTAGGTCAAACAGGGCGGCGGATATGAGGGTTTAAGTGAGACTGCTTATAACACTGCCACCTTTAGGCCAATCGGTGCCATTATTTTTGTCCAAGTTACTCATGACCTCTAGTTTCTGTGTGCCAAATTAGGAAAAAAGTGACCAATCAATGCTTAAGTTATTTGACCATGTCAAGAAAAGAAATATCTAAGCATAACAATAGGTTTCACAAAAACAAGAATAGGCTGCAATGTATTTCGATACAATGACCTCATTGCCTAAAGAAACATTTTGCTACTGTGTGTCATACTATTTGAGATCAGAGGAAAATGTAACCACGTTAGATAGTGTTTGACCACTTCCTTTGAGACATAATAAAAAATTAAAATAACATCCTTCTGTGTGGTTGGTGGTGAAGAAGATACATTATTTTGCGAGCAATTTGCTCACTGGAAGGAGCAATAGTGTGCTTTAGTTGAGGCATAAGCATACTTATCATAGAAGTTCGCTTTTCTTGAGATAGAATAGTGAAATGAGTGTACTGACTGAGCATTGCTGTAAAAGTTGTGGATACGTCAATTTAATATTTCTAAAATTGAAACGCTTAAAGTACTTCCTTAAATACGATACTGATAGGACTAGGACTACTGGCACTTTAATGGCTGAAATCAGAATGTGTTCAGTCAAAAAAGAATGAGAGAATTCTATAGCTGAAACAAAGTTCACCAAAGATATATAAAAAACACAAAAAGAAACAGAAAAGTTAGGAAGAAATCAGTTTCTAAGACAGGGAAAGAACATGTATTTTGTTTAATTATGCTAATTTATTTGTGAAGGATAATGAGGAGGGAGGTGGCTTATGATACCTAACCGTATGTATCAAGAACTCTTTGCAGACCTTGTTGATGACATTTGGTCCTTTATGACACTGATGCTGCAGATCTCTCGAATCAAGCTCGTTCACTCCACAGATCTTCTCCACAATCTTCTGCCTCTCCTGAAACTGTACTGTGCCTGTGTTAGAATGAAATATTAGACACTCCCTTCATTTTCCATAAGCATAGGCATGATTCACCAGATGATAACACACATTCAAGAATAGTAACGCAGAAGCAGAAAAAGTTGTGGGAAATGTCCACATGTTAGGTGCAATAAAAAGTGTTCCCATTCTTGGACAAACAAACATTTCAAGACTTTTCCATGCAGACCAATTCGAATTTCCTAGATTCAAAACTATTTGGTGACATTGATCAGCAGTGGCAAAATGTACACAATAACAGCAATTTGTTATTGTGTGTATTGTTATTGACTTTTTATGACCACACTCGCTGGCAAATTAGAAAACCCCAGACTTTCCATGTGTGGGATGCAGGTGTTGGAAGTCCCTGAAATTCCCTGACCCTTGGGAAAATGGGAACCCATTGTTACCTCACCTTACCAAAGACGGCACAAGAAAGTAATATACAACCACACACAAAAACAGAAAATAAATTGACTTACATTTGTCAAGTGACCCATCATGAGTATCGGGTTTGTAGTCAACTCACAAAATGTGCCACACCTCTATGATTAAGTTTATCAGTCATATTCAGAATTTCAACTTTCAGCCAGCTCTGAGCTGCCAATAACATTGGAAAACTGATTGCTTATTGACTACAACCCAGATACTGTATTACATGTTTACATTTTAGCCATTTAGCAGACACTCATCCAGAGTGACTTACAGGAGCGATTAGGGTTAAGTGCCTTGCTCAAAGGCACAGACAGATTTTTGACCTAGTCGGCTCGGGGATACGAATCAGCGTCCTTTCGGTTACTGGCCCAACCCTCTTAACCACTAGGCTACCTGCCGCCCTATGACTGAATGATTTGTTTCTGCACATAACAAACATTCTGATGAGGATGGATTCAAGAGGTCAACAGAAGCACTGTAATTCTCTTTTCACTATCTTAATAGGATGTGTATCCTTTCAATATGATCACATCTATCTACATGTAGGCACTTGACATGCTTTGCATAATCCCACTAAACACACATAGGTTTAGTTTGTGCTATTCAAAACTACTATGCGGTGATGACACATGACATTCACATGACATTATCATGACTTATGCACCTAAGCAAGTTGAGTTAGACAATTACCCTCAAACCATCCACTCCATACTGTACCTTCAAATGTTCCTAGAACACAAAACCAACACAAGTTAAAACAGCTAAAACAGCCCTCCTTGTGAATTCCTTTTACCAATGATTCCATACTCATAATGAGCAACATTGAAATTCTTCATCACATACAGTACCAGTCAAAAGTTTGGAAACACCTACTCACTCATTCAAGGGTTTTTCCTTAATTTTTTTTTACTATTTTCTACATTGTAGAATAATAGTGAAGACATCAAAACTATGAAATAACACATATAGAATCATGTAGTAACCAAAAAAGTCTTCAACAAATCAAAATATATTTTACATTTTAGATTCATCAAAGTAGCCACCCTTTGCCTTTGACAGCTTGGCATTCTCTCAACCAGCTTCACCTGGAATGCTTTTCCAACAGTCTTGAAGGAGTTCCCACAAACTGAGCACTTGTTGGCTGCTTTTCCTTCACTCTGCGGTCCGACTCATCCCAAACCATCTCAATTGGGTTGCAGTCGGGTGATTGGAGGCCAGGTCACCTGATGCAGCACTCCATCACTCTCCTTCTTGGTCAAATAGCCCTTACACAGCCTGGAGGTGTGTTGGGTCATTGTCCTGTTGAAAAACAAATGATAGTCCCACTAAGTGCAAACCAGATGGGATGGCGTATCACTGCAGAATGCTGTGGTAGTCATGCTGGTTAAGTGTGCCTTGAATTCTAAGTAAATCACTGACAGAGTCACCAGCAAAGCACCCCCACACCATCACACCTCCTCCTCCATGCTAACACGGTGGGAACCAGACATGTGGAGATCATCCGTTCACCTACTCTGCGTCTCAAAAAGACACGGCGGTTGGAACCAAAAATCTCAAATTTGGACTCATCAGACCAAAGGACAGATTTCCACCGGTCTAATGTCCATTGCTTGTGTTTCTTGGCCCAAGCAAGTCTCTTCTTCTTATTGGTGTCCTTTAGTAGTGGTTTCTTTGCAGCAATTCGACCATGAAGGCCTGATTCACGCAGTCTCCTCTGAACAGTTGATGTTGAGATGTGTCTGTTACTTGAACTCAGTGAAGCATTTATTTGGGCTGCAATTTCTGAGGATGGTAACTCTAATGTACTTATCCTCTGCAGCAGAGGTAACTCTGGGTCTTCCTTTCCTGTGGCGGTCCTCATGAGAGCCAGTTTCATCATAGCACTTGATGGTTTTTGCGACTGCACTTGAAGAAACTTTCAAAGTTCTTGAAATGTTCCGTATTGACGTTTCGCTTTGCTTATTTGAGCTGTTCTTGCCACAATATGGACTTTGTCTTTTAACAAATAGGGCTATCTTCTGTATACCAACCCTATTTTTTTCTTCTATCTTGTCACAACACAACTGATTGGCTCAAACGCATTAAGGAAAGAAATTCCACAAATTAACTTTTAACAAGGCACACCTGTTAATTGAAATGCATTCCAGGTGACTACCTCATGAAGCTGGTTGAGAGAATGCCAAGAGTGTGCAAAGCTGTCATCAAGGCAAAGGGTGGCTACTTTGAAGAATCTCAAATATAACATATATTTTGATTTGTTTAAACACTTTTTTTGGTTACTACATGATTCCATATGTGTTATTTCATAGTTTTGATGTTTTCACTATTATTCTACAATGTAGAAAATAATAAAAATAAAGAAAAACCCTGGAATGAGTAAGTGTGTCCAAACTTTTGACTGGTACTGTATGTACCAATACTTTCCCATGATGCTTACCATAGAAGTGACCAAAGCCCATGCTGATGGCAATGAGGAGGGCTACTAGGATACATTTGTTGAGGGTGCCGCTGACATGGCCTTGAGGTGGGGGAGCAACGCGAGGTTCTTGCTGCACCTCCTCCTCCTGTACCTCCTTCTGCTCCTCCTCTAGAGTCTCCTCTCGGTCACTGTGGTCAGACTCCTGCACCTCCTCTCCAGGCTCAGCCACAGAGCTAGTGGTGCTCTTCCTCACCCTGCGCCTCCGCACTACTGGGGTGACCTGCTGTTCTCCCTCATCCTCACTGCTGCTGGAGTCTGCAACCACAGGCTGCTCCACAGGGAAAACTGCAACATACACACACCCACACAAACAATCATTAGTGCACTGAACCATAATTACAAGGTAGATATGTAGTAGGTTGACATGCTTGTAAACCATGCGTATGCTGCTAAAATCATTAAGCACATTGTTGCTTGAAATATTGTTTTAATTGCCCTCATTGATCTAGTAGCAAAGTGCGGTCCATGGCAATATATCAAGTCTCCATTCAATTCTAATTAAAGAGCAACTGCCCCTAAAAAGCAACTTCTCGTTTTGAAAACAGCCTATGTGGCATCGATATGAGTCAGAAACAGTTATTCTACTGTCAAAATTGACTACAAAGTGTAAATGGGATAATTTTGGTCAACAAAGATTTGTGAGATGATAGGAAAAAATAGAATGTCACAGAATGAAGGGTACCGTAACAGTTTTCCTTGGGTTGGGTTAATTCCATCCTGCCCACAGCTGGCAGCACCCAAGTAATCATCAATTCAGCGCTCAGCTGCAGGCGCCCCGATCGTAATGCCCATGGTCAATTTGGTATGACATTCGATTTCCCTATGGGGCTATTTAGTGACCTTCAGTAAATTACACAATGTACATGGGACAATATTTTAAAAATGTCAATAGCTCAAAATTTACTTAAACTTAAAAACCTCAAACCAGCTATAAATTGTGGAAATTCAAATATTGAAAGAATTGAATGAGACAACTAAAAGATGTGCAACATGAAAATATTGTCCCATTTACATTGTGTAATTTATTGACGGTCCCTAACTAGCCCTAGCTATAGGTTATCCAATGTCAAACCAACTTTGCCACAGCGGCACACCAGGGCACACCAGCGGCTGAAGCTAATTGGCTAAATAAGTTGGCTAGCACAAACTAGCCTAGGCGACATCAAGACAAGACCTGGCTAGCCTTTCAAGTTATCTAGAAGGGTGAGTGCTTGTGTACTGTGTTGGCAGAGTGATTGTACAAACACTTGCCATGTGCAAACACACACACACAAGAGACATCCACATTAAACCACACCCCCCCAAGACAACTCTTATTTGGCTTCGGTCATGGCTGCTGCATTTCTCAATGACCACGCTCAAAACCTAGGCCAAAACAGGAAGTTCAGCCCCCTTTAAAGCCTATACATTGTTGTTTGTAAAGCAGGGCTCTCCAACCCTGTTCCTGGAGAGCTACCGTCCTGTAGGTTTTCACTCCAACCCTAGTTTAGCACACCTGATTCTAATAATTAGCTGGTTGAAAAGCCGAACATTTACATTTTAGTCATTTAGCAGACGCTCTTATCCAGAGCGACTTATAGTTAGTGAGTGCATACATTTTCATACTGCCCCCCGTGTGAAACGAACCCACAACCCTGGCGTTGCAAGCGCCATGCTCTACCAACTCAGCTACAGGGGACCCATGTGAGTTACAACGGAGGTTGGCGCAAAAACCTACAGGACGGTAGCTCTCCAGGAACAGGGTTGGAGACCCCTGTTGTAAAGCTAGGCTTCGTGACATTGGTGCACATTAAACTGGGGAAACAAAAATAATGCTTTAGTCTTCCAGAGGAAATGCCAAACCTGAAGAACTGGCCCACATTGCTGTGAAAATTATTGTGCTTATGTTTTGCTTAACAACCAATAACCATTGATTGCAAAATCTGATTAAGACATCCCTCTGGTAATGGGAGCAACATGTAAACAACATGCCTCAGTATCAAGTTTCATCTAGGTTACATGATCACAGAGGTGACCCCTAGCCTAAAATTAAAAGAGAAATACAGGAGACACAGACTAACAACTAATCAAATATTCTGATGATTATATTTGAGAATGTTTGTATATAGGCTAGGCTAATTATACATCAGGTATATCAGTCAAACCAATGACATTCTGCCAAATCATCACTGGGACAACTTCCAGTTGTTAAGCCGAAAAAAACACACACCATGCTGAAATACCACGCAAGTGTTTTGTTTCACACATTTAGTGGCGGTTGCAACACCCTTCAAAAGAAGCAGAACTTGTTTACATCGTCGGACAGCATTTGCACTGACAACAGCTTACCAGGGTAGGCCTGCTACATTGTGTTGAGCAAGACAAGCAGCACACTATCATATTCACACCAGTCCAGTTTATACCACCTGAGAGAGAACAGCTGCCAGATATCTGCCCTTTCAGATGACAGCCCAAGTCCCACAGACTTTGTGGAAGCTTCCAGTGGCCCATCATCAGCCTGGCTTTAGGACAAGGGGAAGGGAAAGGGATAGGAAGGAGTGCTTTGTTGGTTTCTTCTGTTTGTCGTCATGCCCTATCTGTTCTCTAATCCACTTACGCTGCTTGATCATCACCAGACCATCAAACCTTGCATGGAAACATCTCTAACTTTGAACTGTGAAGATAGATACAAATGTATCTCAATTCTCCAATTTACCTCATACTGGAATTCATTTAAACATCCCCTAAAGGGTGTGTTGGGTTGCCCTACCAGTCTCTGCAGCACTGAAGGTGTATTGGCTGCTGGAGGAGGTGCCCAGGTAGAGCTCCTCACTGGCTGCTCCCTCTTCCTCCTCCACTGTCTGCTCATCCCAAGGCCCGAGCTCAGACTCCCTCGTGTCCCCCAGAGTCACAATGTCAGAGTGGTCGCTGGAGGAGCACAGAGTCACATGCTCGTCCCCTGCCACCTCACCTCCAGCCTGCAGAGGATATTCCACATGGTTGGCATAGGGACTGGAAACATAGCGACATCGGAATCATACAAATATACAGCTGAAGAATGTTTTGTTTTTATCCCTCACCTCAGAAGCAGACAATGTCTCGTCTAAGGTTTCTTCTTTTAGAGTGGCATCAAGAGATGACTCACCCCTCTCCTCAGTGCACTCAGCTGAAACATATTTAGAGGACATTTAAAATTTGAAGACAAGTTGAATACACACCATCTACTGTGAGCATATAACATCTCAATACCGCTATAAAATGTGTTTCATTACAGATGGTTAAACCTAATTATGTAGTGTTTTTCTGATAAATGTATATTACAATGTTCTAACAGTTTTAACCCAGTTGTCAAGAGATTTTTTTTGTAATATGCCTAGATTTTTCAAAGTGGCTTAATTTGTCACAACAGGGCATATGGTAACTCCTCCTACCAGAGAGAGAGGCGGGTTGGTTCTGCAGCAGCTCTGGCTCCAGCACTGCACTCTCTGGAAGATCAGGCCCACATTCCAGGCCGTTCTCTGGCCCCAGGGCCTCAATATCTGAACCCTTAGAAACAAGCCTACCATATTAGCCTACCACATTTTAGACAACCCTACATGAAGGCATACCGTACTATGGTCTCCAGTTCACTGCATTAACCATCAGACTTTCAAATTAATCTAGACAGTCGGCATAATGGCAATGACTGGCAAAAAGGCACTCAAGAAGTAACTAAGATGACATGAAACTTTGAAAGAGTAAGTCACTGTAACAGTAATATCCATAGGCCAGTCCCATTAGAGTGCACTGAGGAATTTCAAGGGCTCTGGTTCCTAGTACTGGACTATTGGTCCTACAAGGGTTACCTGAGAGGGACTCAGGTGCTCAGGCTGATGGGGAATCAAATAAGGACCCAGGTAGGGTCAGGAAGACTTGACTTACCTCATTACTATGATAGTCCACCCACAGGAGGACTCTGTGTCACTTGAGCTCTCTGACATGGCTCCGCCAGCTGGTAAAAACAATGGAGCACACTGTAAAAAAAACGCATGGGGATTTTTTATTTTTTGCACAAGAGGAACATTTGAATACTCAAATGCAAAATGTATCATTCTGCATAAAACCACGGTTCACTGATATGACATTGAGATAAGAGAGTTCACAACAACAGTACACAGACATTGCAGCATAATGCATGCCTTGCTGACAGGGGAATGTCTAGCTCTCGAAAACCCTTCTTCTCCATATGTAGGGTTTTCAGCCATTACATTCGACTACATTTGGCTCCATGTAAACTACAATTCCGACATTGTGTTTTAACATTTAGAAAAGTCAATCATCGCTTTCAAAACGGTTTTCGAAACATATGCTGATATGCCATGTCAGCAAGAAATACTCTTCAAATAAAAAAGAGACACTTACTGTAGCAGTTTTGCACAGATTCATACACTGTGTGTGCCTCCAGTTGACGAACTACACTTCCTCCCCAGTTAGCTTACACCAAAGATTATGGATATACTGACAAGATACGTGTCTCCCTAACAATGGGAGTCGTTGTCCACAAAGCGGCACGGCGGGCTGTCTAGCTCCTGTCTATCCATTCTTTGGGTTGGTGGATACATCTCATTATTGTAATCCTTTTTTCAATATTCGATTAGGGTTGTTGACGTCAACCACCTGTATTCAATGGAGAGAGATGCTATGCTACTAGCCTCATGCCATGAATATGCATAGCCATCTCGAGACAACTCCGATATAAAGGGTTTTTTCTCAAAGTTGCCGGGATATCACGTGTCCTACTTATATCAGTACACTTGAAACAACTTATGCATCACAAAACTTCTATTCGAGCAAATAAGCCATTCATTTTTTTGTTGAACCAAATTCAACACTCATTGACCTCCATACAAAAACTCCTTGCTCAGTAGGCGAAAAAACCCCACCTAAAGGAGGGAGACAGATTTTCTGCCGAGTTGGGCCTCGATCTTCCTCTCTGCTTACACACAGGTGTTCTGAACACACTAGATACCTCATTAGCACAGGTGGCGAACTATGTCTTCCATAAACAAGCGCTGTAATGTGGCGATATGGCCGTGTGGGAACACTAACCCTATAAAAAGGTGTGTAGTAATAACCTTTTATTTTTTTGACAAATATGTTTTACTGATATGAAAGATACATTACTTATGTTTCCAAAACAGTACCGCAAGCGATGCGTGTTAATGTTTAGAGCAAGCGTCGGGGCACTTAACACAACCCCCCCGTCAGAAGATACTATCGTCAATAGGTGCTAAAGTAGTTTGCGTCTATGAATGGGGTAGGGAATGTCATGCTGACCCCCTTTGCTGGTGAACGATTGCACCCATGCCCCATTTTTTGGGGAGATCGAAAACGACTTGTATGTTTCTCTGTATAGGCCTAATCTTTCAGCAGCAGAACATGATAAAGAGTTGATATAGCTTTCAGAGTACCCAGTAGTGGTTGTGTAGAACGTGGGTTGTAGGTGGCAAATGTCAATCCCACCACAACAACAACATTTTGGTATACTGTTACTTTACCACATAACTAGTTTACTGGTGAACGAAAACGAAGCATAGTGAGTATTGTTGATATTATTTCTCTACAAACCCAGTTTGGTGTGCATGGTTCAATGCATGGGGGCCTGCGTAGCTACACTGTGCAGGATTGCAAAACTGCCGTCGGCCCCTGCGATGCCGCCAGCTAGTTAGCAAATGAGGAGTCCAATCCGCAATCGATTATTCAACAAATGGATGCCTGAATATATAGCTAGCTACATATGTAGCTATGTAACGTTATTATATGCACATAACTAACAATTACCATGATAAGAAATGACAATCAGGTGAAAATGCGAACGGAAGGGTGTTTTCTGCAAACAGCTGCTGGATAGACTGACATTTAAACAGCTTCTTGCTAGCTACCTAACAGTAATAGCTAGCCGCTAGCACAGTTAGATAAACTAGCTAGCTAACACGTCCTAGTAGCTAAGTTATCCTACTCTGTAACGTCAAGAAACAAGAATTATGACTTACAAACCACTCTAACCTGACAAAACATCAGACAGTAATATCATTACCCAGTAAGTTTCCAACGTAGAAAGTATGAATTTCTGCAAACGATTCTCGATATTGCAGTCACAATTGCGCACTCATTGCTTCATCAATTTCAATTCAACAACAACACAATCAGCGTCTCGTCGGCAACACTAAAAAGAGTACTTCCGGATCTAGGAATTTCGAAAACGTTCTAAATAAAAGTCTCCCACGTAATTGTAGAAAAGTGTAAATAACTTGTATTTATTCATGATATGAAAATAACTTTAAACATTAACAATGAAGGGGGCAGGCAGCAGGGTAAGGTCAGGGGGAGAAGGGGGCAGGCAGCAGGGTAAGGTCAGGGGGAGAAGGGGGCAGGCAGCAGGGTAAGGTCAGGGGGAGAAGGGGGCAGGCAGCTGGGTAAGGTCAGGGGGGAGAAGGGGGCAACAGGGTAAGGTCAGGGGGAGAAGGGGGCAGGCAGCAGGGTAAGGTCAGGGGGAGAAGGGGGCAGGCAGCAAGGTAAGGTCAGGGGGAGAAGGGGGCAGGCAACTGGGTAAGGTCAGGGGGGAGAAGGGGGCAGCAGGGTAAGGTCAGGGGGAGAAGGGGACAGGCAGCAGGGTAAATTCAGGGCTTGCTCAGACACTGAAAGAGAGGACACAAAGACCTCTGGATTATTCTGCTATTTTAATTGCAATTAATTCTGTTATGCAGCACAATGAAGAGATTGATCATGCATTTTGGAAGGAAGTTGCCCAAATTCTGCAATGGCCAACTGCTACAAAAAACACAGAAAGGATTCATGTCGGGTGGCTTAAGTGGAAAGATGAGAATTTTGATATAGGCCTATGTGCTTGTGTTATGCAGCTAAAGGAAGGAGTAGACAGAGATAGTAAAGTGGTGGAGTCTGTGCCGGACACTGGTGTTATAATAATAATATGCCATTTAGCAGATGCTTTTATCCAAAGCGACTTAAAGTTACAGTGGGGAAAAAAAGTATTTAGTCAGCCACCAATTGTGTAAGTTCTCCCACTTAAAAAGATATGAGAGGCCTGTAATTTTCATCATAGGTACACGTCAACTATGACAGACAAAATTAGAAGAAAAAAAATCCTGAAAATCACATTGTAGGATTTTTAATGAATTTATTTGCAAATTATGGTGGAAAATAAGTATTTGGTCAATAACTAAAGTTTCTCAATACTTTGTTATATACCCTTTGTTGGCAATGACACAGGTCAAACGTTTTCTGTAAGTCTTCACAAGGTTTTCACACACTGTTGCTGGTATTTTGGCCCATTCCTCCATGCAGATCTCCTCTAGAGCAGTGATGTTTTGGGGCTGTCGCTGGGCAACACGGACTTTCAACTCCCTCCAAAGATTTTCTATGGGGTTGAGATCTGGAGACTGGCTAGGCCACACCAGGACCTTGAAATGCTTCTTACGAAGCCACTCCTTCGTTGCCCGGGCGGTGTGTTTGGGATCATTGTCATGCTGAAAGACCCAGCCACGTTTCATCTTCAATGCCCTTGCTGATGGAAGGAGGTTTTCACTCAAAATCTCACGATACATGGCCCCATTCATTCTTTCCTTTACACGGATCAGTCGTCCTGGTCCCTTTGCAGAAAAACAGCCCCAAAGCATGATGTTTCCACCCCCATGCTTCACAGTAGGTATGGTGTTCTTTGGATGCAACTCAGCATTCTTTGTCCTCCAAACACGACGAGTTGAGTTTTTACCAAAAAGTTATATTTTGGTTTCATCTGACATTCTCCCAATCCTCTTCTGGATCATCCAAATGCACTCTAGCAAACTTCAGACGGGCCTGGACATGTACTGGCTTAAGCAGGGGGACACGTCTGGCACTGCAGGATTTGAGTCCCTGGCGGCGTAGTGTGTTACTGATGGTAGGCTTTGTTACTTTGGTCCCAGCTCTCTGCAGGTCATTCACTAGGTCCCCCCGTGTGGTTCTGGGATTTTTGCTCACCGTTCTTGTGATCATTTTGACCCCACGGGGTGAGATCTTGCGTGGAGCCCCAGATCGAGGGAGATTATCAGTGGTCTTGTATGTCTTCCATTTCCTAATAATTGCTCCCACAGTTGATTTCTTCAAACCAAGCTGCTTACCTATTGCAGATTCAGTCTTCCCAGCCTGGTGCAGGTTTACAATTTTGTTTCTGGTGTCTTGGCCATAGTGGAGTTTGGAGTGTGACTGTTTGAGGTTGTGGACAGGTGTCTTTTATACTGATAACAAGTTCAAACAGGTGCCATTAATACAGGTAACGAGTGGAGGACAGAGGAGCCTCTTAAAGAAGAAGTTACAGGTCTGTGAGAGCCAGAAATCTTGCTTGTTTGTAGGTGACCAAATCCTTATTTTCCACCATAATTTGCAAATAAATTCATTAAAAATCCTACAATGTGATTTTCTGGATTTTTTTTTCTCAATTTGTCTGTCATAGTTGACGTGTACCTATGATGAAAATTACAGGCGTCTCTCATCTTTTTAAGTGGGAGAACTTGCACAATTGGTGGCTGACTTATGTGTGCATACATTTTTACGTATGGGTGGTCCCGTGGATCGAACCCACTACCCTGGCGTTACAAGCGCCATGCTCTACCAATTGAGCTACGTGTTAATCAGGTGCTTGAATTAATTGAATCACAGGAAGGAGTAGTAAAGGGTGGACCTAGTGCTATAGTAGGAGTTGACTGTACTGATAGTGACTCTGTTGTGATAAAGTTAACTGCGGAGTTGACCGTACTGATAAAGGCATATATCAGTATGAAAAAAAAATAAAAAAAATGTATGCTCTCACTAACTGTAAGTCGCTCTGGATAAATGACTAAAATGTAAATGTGAATCAGAATAATTTGACACAACAGATTATAACCCCCAAATTTGACACAGAAATTGTATGGGGTGGTCATGATGTTGGGGAGCACCAGAAAGTTAAGACTTGCCAAAAAAAGAAAGAAAAACAAATCATGCTATTTCAATGGCAGTACATGCCATCATGCAGCATAATGACACATTTGATTTCCAATTTTGGGAGGAAGTCGTCAAAACTTTGCAATGGCCAACTGGAACAACCATTGTCACTAATCGTAGTATCAACATTTTTAGGAATATGTGGAACAAGAATAGAAGTAAAGTTCAAAGTCTTGTTAATCAGATTGAGGAACAGGTTGAGTTGACTAACCCTTTGAGCCTGTCACCCATATGTAATGACATAGGATATAAGGGTGACAGCACAAACTTAAATCAGTGCAACAGCACAAACTTAAATCAGTGCAACACAGTCAAAGACAGTACACTAATTGATACAAAAACACCAATCAAACACAAGAGTGGGGAAGGAGAAATGCAGTGAAATGTAAATATGGTGAGGAATGGGTCACACAGCAAAAGAAACCCAAACACACCAAATAACAGTAAATGAGCAATGCTAGCATGTGCAAATTGGTATCAATTTGATTGCATTGGCGTATCTCCAGATAGTCAAAAGGATGTAGAATTTGTTACTTTTCTATGCAATTCAGAATCATGTCGAGTTCATGTACAGCCATTGCAAAATGGATTTAGTCTTAAAGCGGACTGTGACACTTTTATACATTCTATTGCTAGTGACAACAAGGTGAAATTAAACAAAATGGTACAAACAGTGAATGTAAATGAGGCTCAGGTTCAAAACCTATTGGAGAGTTTAAATGAGGGATTGTCAACTGCTCAGAGAAGACCCTCAGACTGCCAACTTAATAAGCAAAATGTACACACTTTTGAGGATAAAGAACCTGCTTCTGATTTACATCCTGATGTAGCCAATAATTCGTATGACGAAGTGTCAGTAGTGCAGCTCAAATCAAATCTCAGACACCCAAGATATTGGGAATTAATACTACCACTTAAAGACAGAAAGTTGTGGTACAAGTTGTCATACAGGTTTATCAGATGAGGAAATCATAAGCTCTGTGACAACTGACTCAGATGTACAGCATGTTACTGGAGAGGTTGATGTCTAAATAAGCGAAGATAAACTGAAATGTGTTTTGTCAGATGAGGCTAATTTTGGATGGTTCAGGCATACCACTCCAAATAATGGTATGTTTACATTGACTCGGAATGAATCGGAGAGGGTCCATTTGGAGAGAAGTGGTAGGTACAGTATTTGGTTAGTAGAGAACCTACAGTCTTTTGCACCTCACTTTAGCTGAGACAGTAAACTTTTTCCTCTACAGTGATACAATCCAAAATGTATTCCATATACAGTGAACTGCATTGCTGGCTATGTTATGTTGCATGGATAAATAGTCACATTTACATTTTAGTCATTTAGCAGACGCTCTTATCCAGAGCGACTTACAGTTAGTGAGTGCCCCCGTGGGAAACGAACCCACAACCCTGGCGTTGCACGCGCCATGCTCTACCAACTGAGCTACAAACTCTGAATTACCAAATAATTCGTATTTATTAGCAAAAGATAATAAGACAACTGCTGGGCACAGCACATAGCATTATGGTTCCACAGAACTAGGATAAGACACGAGGCTTTAAGCCACTAGACTAGGCTATATAATCATCCAGGAATACAGCTCAAGCAAACTGGAAATAAATTAAAACCGTGACAGGATCTGTAAGAACCAAGAAAAACGTTTAAGCATAGCACCAGTCATATACATAATATACAATGACATATTAAAAAATATATAGAGTAGTAATTCTCTTTAGTTTAGATTTTCCCTGATGTAGTTACAATTTTATAACAATTGTAACATTATGCACGATGACTCATTCAGATAGCGCTTCACCGCAGACTTTTGTTTTGAAGGAAAAATCGGAAATCCGGAAGTCTTAATGTTGCCACTGGGTCGCGAATGTTGCTGCCATAACGCTAATAACAACACAGACCTTTTGCGAAGCTGAACAGCGTGTTCACACGTGATGAGAGAGAAGTGTAGTTTTAAGTTTGAGTTTGCATGAATTGAGCACATATCGTTTGCCGAAGTTGGAAACTACTGCTCCCAATATACTATGGTCTCTGGATCACGTGATTGATCAGCTGAGAAATACATGTGTAGATGTAAACGAACATACTAAACTCGTGATTTTAGTCTACTGCAATGAATATGTCAGTGGGTTGGCTTTATTCAATACGCCCAACTTTTATGTAAGGTTTTTATAAAAATACACACAAGGCTTAGAATGAAGAGCTATGAAGGAAGGAGGATGATCCTTCCGATCTAGTACATCTACATCTATGTAAACTGTCGAGTCAAAACCGTTGCTAAGGAGGGTAGCTAGGGTAACCAAAATCCTGAATCCATGACGGAGGTCTGTCCCTTTATACACAATCTATGGTCTGTCCTCCCCAACCAGTTATCAAGGTAAGTCTTACTTTAGGAGTTTACAAAGTTTGTCTGAACCTTGTATTGTTTCATAAAGCAGGGTTTCCCAAACTCGGTCCTGGGGCCCCACTGGGTGTTTTGGGTTTTGCCCTAGCGCTACACAGCTGATTAAAATAACCAACTCATCATCAAGCTTTGATTATTTGAATCAGCTGTGTGTTAGGGCATGTGTGTTAGGGCAATAACCAAAACGTGCACCAGGGGGGAGGGCCCAGGATCGAGTTTAGGAAACCCAACCATAACGTACGCTGATATTCAGAGAGGCAGAGGTAAAGAAAGGCCCAAACTCGAATTTGGTCAACAAAAAATGAATGGCTTATTTGCTGTTTATTTGATTGAATAGACGTTTCGTAATGCTTCGGTTGTTACAGTGTACTGATAGAAGTAGGACACGTGACATCCCCGCAACTTTGACAAAAAACACTTTATATCGGAGTTGTCTCGAGATGGCTATGCATATTCATGGTATGAGGCTAGTAGCATAGCATCTCTCCATTAAATACAGGAGGTTGACATCAACAACCCTCATCGACTATTTTAAAAAGTATTACAATTATGAGATGTATCCACCAATCAAAAGAAAGGATAGGCGTGCTGCTTTTTGGACAACGACTCCCATTGTTAGGGCAGAGAGACCAGTAGCTTGTCAGTATCCATAATCTTTGTTATATTTTGGGAAAAACGAGTTTGGGAAACCCTGGACTATTTGATATGTTTTATTTGTCATCACCTGACCTTCTAGGTAGACTGTTGCGTAGGCCTACCAATGTCGGCTCCTCAACAGCAGGAACAAAGCAGAGCCCTGTGTGCAAACCCTGGGAATCCTGTTTTCTCATGTATGATGACCCCAGTTGTTAAAGACACTTCTTCTGTGCCATGGGCGAAGCCTCAAAGCCCCTTCTACAAGACCACCTCAAGTGACTATGGTGTTAGTCCTCCAACATTTGAATCATCACCCTGTACCTACCACCCACTTTCACAAAGATTCACAGAAGACCTTGGGAGCTGTGGGATGTTCCGTGACAACTCCTTCAATACAAGTCTTGATCGAAGCAGGGTATATGACTGCCCTAACTTGCAAAACACTATCTGATTTGATTGACATGGTATAACATTGTCTTGGTGTTGATTAAACTACCTGTTGGACCTTCACTCCATGGACAATGATTGGTGTCCCGAAAACGCATAAAAGCTGTACATTTAAGTTCTACAATATACTTGTATCATTCTACATACACACAAAGTAAATAATATTTTTACTTGCACTTATGTTATTTGTGACATTATACAGAAACACACTAATAGCGGGAGCAAATTACAATGTTTGACTTGAAAAAAAAATATTGTATCACTATAAACACATTAGGCTACATTGAACAAGTGGGCTATCAGCATTCATTGTAAAGTGTTCCTCGTTGCAACAATTTATACAAATGTCTTTTAAATTATTGTTTTATTAATTCAGGACAGGGTGCACTCCCTTGGATGATTTGTCTGATTTTGTGTGTGTCGGCTTGTAGAGTTTCATTTTGAGGATCAATCTCCAAAGCAGCCTGGTAATCTTGAAGACCTATGAAAATATTTCCAAATGAGAAAAAAAGTTTAACTGACTGCATAGGCCATGGTAGGCATAGTCTGCTAAACCAGCTGTCCCTACTCCCTAGCCTAGGATTTTCACAGCAGCATTATTTCAGTCACAAGGCGAAAGTAGGCTTTTCATTCTGGGCAGAACAAACAAAATATAATCTACTTTTTAGCCAGCAGAGGTCGGTGTTACACAGGGTAAAGCACAAAACACCCATCTCTGGGGCTACAGTACTTAAATACATTAGCTCCTTTTCTTTACACGTGGAACTTTTTGTTTAAATCTGTAGAAAAAAGTCAAAGGTGCTATAACTATACTAATTTGTTAAATTCAGTTGTCTTTTCTCTTTTTTGCATTTCACTTGTCCAAGTATGAATGACAATGAGGTCTAAAACTAAAATAGAAGTGCCAAGGGGAGCCATGTAGCATTGAGGCTTGAGAAATGCCCTTGTTAAACGTTGCACAGACCTTCAGTATAGAGCTCCAGTTCACAAAAAGCTGTGCCTCGTCTTACATGGGCTCTTGTTCTGGCACCTGCATTGCCAGCCACGGGTGGCGTCAACAGATCAAGTGCCTGCAATGAAAGATTGTGGGTATGAGGAAACATTGTAATGTCATATTCTATACAACCAGCTCGTTTACCAACGCTGTTGAGTAAAAGGAAACATTTACACAAGGAAGATGAATACTGACCCAAGAGGAATCCTCAATGGCTTTATGAAGATTCCTTAGTTTCAAGTGACAAGCAGCACGGTTTGAATATATGGCAGGAATCGCTCTGTTAAGCTTTATGCCAAGGCTGTAAGCATTGATTGCAGCCAAGTAGTTACCAGTTGCAAACAATTTGCTGAAAAACATGGAGGGAAGACATTTAATATTAAAACTGCTTCATTGTTTGATGATCACTGATTTTGACAATATTAGCCTACTTACTCGCCTTTCTCCTTTAACCAGTCAGGGTTCCTCTCTTCTTCTGTCAGGTCCTTCAGCTCTGCCAGGTCTGCATTTATTGCCCTTCTGGCCTCGGCCTGCTTCTGAAGCCACTGTTCCAACAGAACACATTCATATGATTGGGTTGGCTTGATAAAATGTAAAAAATAAAACACAACAACATGACGCTACCTCCCAATAGGGAACCGAGAATGGACAAACGCAACTCTTACATATCCCGTGTCCATAGCTTAAAGTAAAGACAAAGCAGTCAATACCCATATTTAAGGGCAATTCCACCACTTTTCAACTTCCTTTTCCTTATCTTCAGCATAATACCAGTGTCTACATACAGTGGGGAGAACAAGTATTTGATACACTGCCGATTTTGAAGGTTTTCCTACTTACAAAGCATGTAGAGGTCTGTAATTTTTATCATAGGTACACTTCAACTGTGAGAGACGGAATCCAGAAAATCACATTGTATGATTTTTAAGTAATTAATTTGCATTTTATTGCATGACATAAGTATTTGATACATCAGAAAAGCAGAACTTCATATTTGGTACAGAAACCTTTGTTTGCAATTACAGAGATCATATGTTTCCTCTAGGTCTTGAACAGGTTTGCACACACTGCAGCAGGGATTTTGGCCCACTCCTCCATAGAGACCTTCTCCAGATCCTTCAGGTTTCGGGGTTGTCGCTGGGCAATACGGACTTTCAGCTCCCTCCAAAGATTTTCTATTGGGTTCAGGTCTGGAGACTGGCTAGGCCACTCCAGGACCTTGAGATGCTTCTTACGGAGCCACTCCTTAGTTGCCCTGGCTGTGTGTTTCGGGTCGTTGTCATGCTGGAAGACCCAGCCACGACCCATCTTCAATGCTCTTACTGAGGGAAGGAGGTTGTTGGCCAAGATATCGCGATACAATGCCCCATCCATCCTCCCCTCAATACGGTGCAGTCGTCCTGTCCCCTTTGCAGAAAAGCATCCCCAAAGAATGATGTTTCCACCTCCTTGCTTCACGGTTGGGATGGTGTTCTTGGGGTTGTACTCATCCTTCTTCCTCCAAACACGGCGAGTGGAGTTTAGACCAAAAAGCTCTATTTTTGTCTCATCAAACCACATGACCTTCTCCCATTCCTCCTCTGGATCATCCAGATGGTCATTGGCAAACTTCAGACGGGCCTGGACATGCGCTGGCTTGAGCAGAGGGACCTTGCGTGCGCTGCAGGATTTTAATCCATGATGGCGTAGTGTGTTACTAATGGTTTTCTTTGAGACTGTGGTCCCAGCTCTCTTCAGGTCATTGACCAGGTCCTGCCGTGTAGTTCTGGGCTGATCCCTCACCTTCCTCATGATCATTGATGCCCCATGAGGTGAGATCTTGCTTGGAGCCCCAGACCGAGGGTGATTGACCGTCATCTTGAACTTCTTCCATTTTCGAATAATTGCGCCAACAGTTGTTGCCTTCTCACCAAGCTGCTTGCCTATTGTCCTGTAGCCCATCCCAGCCTTGTGCAGGTCTACAATTTTATCCCTGATGTCCTTACACAGCTCTCTGGTCTTGGCCATTGTGGAGAGGTTGGAGTCTGTTTGATTGAGTGTGTGGACAGGTGTATTTTATACAGGTAACAAGTTCAAACAGGTGCAGTTAATACAGGTAATGAGTGGAGAACAGGAGGGCTTCTTAAAGAAAAACTAACAGGTCTGTGAGAGACGGAATTCTTACTGGTTGGTAGGTGATCAAATACGTATGTCATGCAATAAAATGCAAATTAATTACTTAAAAATCATACAATGTGATTTTCTGGATTTTTGTTTTAGATTCCGTCTCTCACAGTTGAAGTGTACCTATGATACAAATTACAGACCTCTACATGCTTTGTAAGTAGGAAAACCTGCAAAATTGGCAGTGTATCAAATACTTGCTCTCCCCACTGTATGTGAAAACGGCGCATTTCTAAGTTTCTAAGTTAAAATGTTCTACCCGATGACATAATCAAAAGTTAAAACATTTTAAAAACTGTGATTTTCAAACACTGAGATTCACAGTGACGTGGGGAGCAAGAATATACCTTCCCTCTGGCAAGAAACTCGTTGCAGGTTTTGAAAATCACAGTTTTTCTGACTTTTAATCCTACCCTGTGATGTCACAGAGAATCATTTTTTAGGACTGTTCTTATCTTTTTAACCACGGATCATAGAAACGTGCCGTTTTCACATACAGTATGTAGACACTGGTATGGTGCTGCAGATAATGAATATGAGGTTGAAAAGTGGCGGAATTGCCCTTTAATAAACCAAAGATTCACTGATGAAAAAACCTGGTTAATACTTGAAAGTGGAAAGGGAAAGGATGAGTTTACACCTCTTCCTCCTCTGGTACTCTTGATTCTCGTAGGGCCGTGGGAACACTCGCGGTGTGAACTTGATTTGAATGTGCCTGTGACTTGGAACACTGCTGCAACTATTACAGGGGTTGACATCAACACCTCATCGACTATTTTAAAATATTACAATATGAGATGTATCCCCAATCCAAAGAAAGGATAGGCGTGCTGCTTTTTGGACAACGACTCCCATTGTTAGGGCAGAGAGACCAGTATCTTGTCAGTATCCATAATCTTTATTATATTTTGGGAAAACCGAGTTTGGGAAACCCTGGACTATTTGATATTTATGTTTTATTTTTTCATCACCTGACCTTCTAGGTAGACTGTTGCGTAGGCCTACCAATGTCGGCTCCTCAACAGCAGGAACAAAGCAGAGCCCTGTGTGCAAACCCTGGGAATCCTGTTTTCTCATGTATGATGACCCCAGTTGTTAAAGACACTTATTCTGTGCCATGGGCGAAGCCTCAAAGCCCCTTCTACAAGACCACCTCAAGTGACTATGGGGTTAGTCCTCCAACATTTGAATCATCACCCTGTACCTACCACCCACTTTCACAAAGATTCACAGAAGACCTTGGGAACTGTGGGATGTTCCGTGACAACTCCTTCAATACAAGTCTTGATCGAAGCAGGGTATATGACTGCCCTAACTTGCAAAACACTATCTGATTTGATTGACATGGTATAACATTGTCTTGGTGTTGATTAAACTACCTGTTGGACCTTCACTCCATGGACAATGATTGGTGTCCCGAAAACGCATAAAAGCTGTACATTTAAGTTCTACAATATACTTGTATCATTCTACATACACACAAAGTAAAGCATATTTTTACTTGCACTTATGTTATTTGTGACATTATACAGAAACACACTAATAGCGGGAGCAAATTACAATGTTTGACTTTAAAAAAAAATATTGTATCACTATAAACACATTAGGCTACATTGAACAAGTGGGCTATCAGCATTCATTGTAAAGTGTTCCTCATTGCAAAAATGTATACAAATGTCTTTTAAATTATTGTTTTATTAATTCAGGACAGGGTGCACTCCCTTGGATGATTTGTCTGATTTTGTGTGTGTCGGCTTGTAGAGTTTCATTTTGAGGATCAATCTTCAAAGCAGCCTGGTAATCTTGAAGACCTATGAAAATATTTCCAAATGAGAAAAAAAGTTTAACTGACTGCATAGGCCATGCATGGTAGGCATAGTCTGCTAAACCAGCTGTCCCTACTCCCTAGCCTAGGATATCCACAGCAGCATTATTTCAGTCACAAGGCGAAAGTAGGCTTTTCATTCTGGGCAGAACAAACAAAATAGAATCTACTTTTTAGCCAGCAGAGGTCGGTGTTACACAGGGTAAAGCACAAAACACCCATCTCTGGGGCTACAGTACTTAACAAATACATTAGCTCCTTTTCTTTACACATGGAACTTTTTGTCTAAATCTGTAGAAAAAAAGTCAAAGGTGCTATAACTATACTAATTTGTTAAATTCAGTTGTCTTTTCTCTTTTTTGCATTTCACTTGTCCAAGTATGAATGACAATGAGGTCTAAAACTAAAATAGAAAGTGCCAAGGGGAGCCATGTAGCATTGAGGCTTGAGAAATGCCCTTGTTGACATTGCACAGACCTTCAGTATAGAGCTCCAGTTCACAAAAAGCTGTGCCTCGTCTTACATGGGCTCTTGTTCTGGCACCTGCATTGCCAGCCACGGGTGGCGTCAACAGATCAAGTGCCTGCAATGAAAGATTGTGGGTATGAGGAAACATTGTAATGTCATATTCTATACAACCAGCTCTTTTACCAACGCTGTTGAGTAAAAGGAAACATTTACACAAGAAAGATGAATACTGACCCAAGAGGAATCCTCAATGGCTTTATGAAGATTCCTTAGTTTCAAGTGACAAGCAGCACGGTTTGAATATATGGCAGGAATCGCTCTGTTAAGCTTTATGGCAAGGCTGTAAGCATTGATTGCAGCCAAGTAGTTACCAGTTGCAAACAATTTGCTGAAAAACATGGAGGGAAGACATTTAATATTAACACTGCTTCATTGTTTGATGATCACTGATTTTGACAATATTAGCCTACTTACTCGCCTTTCTCCTTTAACCAGTCAGGGTTCCTCTCTTCTTCTGTCAGGTCCTTCAGCTCTGCCAGGTCTGCATTTATTGCCCTTCTGGCCTCGGCCTGCTTCTGAAGCCACTGTTCCAACAAAACACAAACATATGATTGGGTTGGCTTGATAAAATGTAAAAAATAAAACACAACAACATGACGCTACCTCCCAATAGGGAACCGAGAATGGACAAACGCAACTCTTACATATCCCGTGTCCATAGCTTAAAGTAAAGACAAAGCAGTCAATACCCATATTTAAGGGGCAATTCCACCACTTTTCAATTTCCCTTTTTCCTTATCTTCAGCAAAATACAGTGTCTATACAGTGGGGAGAACAAGTATTTGATACATGCCATTTTAAAGGTTTTCTACTTAAAAGCATAAGTCTGAAATTTTTATCATGGGTACACTTAAATGTGAGAGGAACGGAATCAGAAATCACATTTATGATTTTTAAGTAATTAATTTGCTTTTATGCATGACAAAGTATTGATACATCAAAAAGCAGAACTTCATATTTGGTACAGAAACCTTTGTTTGCAATTACGAGATCATATGTTTCCTCAGGTCTTGAACGGGTTTTTGCACACACTGCAGCAGGGATTTTGGCCCACTCCTCCATAGAGACCTTCTCCAGATCCTTCAGGTTTCGGGGTTGTCGCTGGGCAATACGGACTTTCAGCTCCCTCCAAAGATTTTCTATTGGGTTCAGGTCTGGAGACTGGCTAGGCCACTCCAGGACCTTGAGATGCTTCTTACGGAGCCACTCCTTAGTTGCCCTGGCTGTGTGTTTCGGGTCGTTGTCATGCTGGAAGACCCAGCCACGACCCATCTTCAATGCTCTTACTGAGGGAAGGAGGTTGTTGGCCAAGATATCGCGATACAATGCCCCATCCATCCTCCCCTCAATACGGTGCAGTCGTCCTGTCCCCTTTGCAGAAAAGCATCCCCAAAGAATGATGTTTCCACCTCCTTGCTTCACGGTTGGGATGGTGTTCTTGGGGTTGTACTCATCCTTCTTCCTCCAAACACGGCGAGTGGAGTTTAGACCAAAAAGCTCTATTTTTGTCTCATCAAACCACATGACCTTCTCCCATTCCTCCTCTGGATCATCCAGATGGTCATTGGCAAACTTCAGACGGGCCTGGACATGCGCTGGCTTGAGCAGAGGGACCTTGCGTGCGCTGCAGGATTTTAATCCATGATGGCGTAGTGTGTTACTAATGGTTTTCTTTGAGACTGTGGTCCCAGCTCTCTTCAGGTCATTGACCAGGTCCTGCCGTGTAGTTCTGGGCTGATCCCTCACCTTCCTCATGATCATTGATGCCCCATGAGGTGAGATCTTGCTTGGAGCCCCAGACCGAGGGTGATTGACCGTCATCTTGAACTTCTTCCATTTTCGAATAATTGCGCCAACAGTTGTTGCCTTCTCACCAAGCTGCTTGCCTATTGTCCTGTAGCCCATCCCAGCCTTGTGCAGGTCTACAATTTTATCCCTGATGTCCTTACACAGCTCTCTGGTCTTGGCCATTGTGGAGAGGTTGGAGTCTGTTTGATTGAGTGTGTGGACAGGTGTATTTTATACAGGTAAAGTTCAAATCGTGGGAACAAAACCTTCTGGAGGGATTCTTATAATCACAAATTACATTAAAAAATTAACAAAAACTGTGATTTTCAGCACTATATTACGTTCCACAGTGGGATTAATATAACCCTCAGTATAATGTCATATGTGAAAACGGGGCATTTCTAAGTTAAAATGTTCTACCCGATGACATAATCAAAAGTTAACATTTTAAAAACTGTGATTTTCAAACACTGAGATTCACAGTGACGTGGGGAGCAATAATATACCTTCCCTCTGGCTAGAAACTCGTTGCAGGTTTTGAAAATCACAGTTTTTCTGACTTTTAATCCTACCCTGTGATGTCACAGATAATCATTTTTTAGGACTGTTCTTATCTTTTTAACCACGGATCATAGAAACGTGCCGTTTTCACATACAGTATGTAGACACTGGTATGGTGCTGCAGATAATGAATATGAGGTTGAAAAGTGGCGGAATTGCCCATTAATAAACCAAAGATTCACTGATGAAAAAACCTGGTTAATACTTGAAAGTGGAAAGGGAAAGGATGAGTTTACACCTCTTCCTCCTCTGGTACTCTTGATTCTCGTAGGGCCGTGGGAAACACTCGCGGTGTGAACTTGATTTGAATGTTGCCTGTGGATCTTGGAGCTGGCAAATCCACCTGTTTTTTCTTGCTGATTGATTGAACACTGGTTTTCTGATCTATGTAAGAAACAAGCAGATGATATTCATTATGGAATAGTCAACCAATCAAACATATGATTGCAGAATGTACAATTCGATTGTACCAGAGTTTTATTTACCATGCTTGACCTTGCATCTGTCTGATGTTCTGGGTACATGTATCTTTTCCGATCTGCTTTGTTTGTCAACCTTGATTCTCTGACTTTGTAGCTTTAGTTGGGCCTCCTCCTCTGCTATTTGCCTCTGCTTCAGTTTCCATGCCTCCAACTCTGCTGTTGCTTTCTCACGTTCATCATCCTTCATTTTCTGGATCCTGGCTCTCTCTTCTTCTTCAAGCTGAAAATATCAAATAACTGAAAATGAAGATGTATTCTTAACACAAATTACACAGAATATATTTTACAAGTGTATCTCACCTTCATCATGGTCTCAAGTGCATATTTCCTTTCTTCTTGTGTCTTTGTAGCTTTGGCTTTCGACTCAGCAGCAAGCTTTTCCTGGGCTTTCAGGAGTTCTCTTTCCCTGATCTCTCTCAATTTGTCTTTGTCATCTAAAACAGATACACACACGATCATTATAATATATTCTTTGTGGAATAATACCAATCAGGGTCAAATGTAATACATATAATTAAGTTGTAAAAACACTGTGACTACTTTGCATAATGTATAGCAGCTGCTATACCATGGCATTGTTGAATACTTGTTTCTGATTGGCTTGAAGGGCATTCTAGAGCGTGCATTAATTACCTATAAGGCACGGTCTATCAGCAGGGTAGAATTCAATGGCTTTAGTTCATTCTTACATGTTCTATGTTTGAGCTGCTTTTGAAAGCAAAAGTCGAATTGAAAACATTATTGGCATTGCTGAATTCGATTTCAATAATAGCAAGCTAGGACTGATGGTTTGGTTAGCTAAACTAGCAAGTCTGTTTGTTTGGTTACCAAGGCAACTACTGTAGCTAGCCTATCTAGTAAACTTGCTAGCTACGTCAGTGGATGTTGAACACATTTCCAGCAGCAAATGTGTTAAATTATAGCCATGGTATGTAAGGGTTATAATCAACTCGGGGCTCTATGCGTTCTCTGGAAAATAATGCAACTCCATGGAAGGTTTGTTCCACTCTGCCAGCGCATCTTCAATGTCATTCATTATTTTCCAATGCAAAGACCCTCGTTGATTATCCCTTACTTAGCTAACTAGACTAATATCTATATTGATGTTAGCTAATGACTTACTGTTATTAATCACAAGGTGCTCCCACAGTCTCTCCTTCTTTTTCTGCAATGTGAAAACTGCAACTCCATTTCCAATTTTTGCTGTGCTTTTGTCATCATCTATTGGCTCAGACAGGAAGGCTTCAAATAAAAATGGGGGGAAATGTACCTAAATGAAGGAGGCAAGCCAAAGCAAACTGATTACCAAAGCAATTGCCCATTTACTACTGTTGACAACATTTAGATAGGTAGCTAGCTAACGTTAGCAAGCTAGCTTTAGGGTGTTTCCAAAAAAACGTTTACCTTCAGATATTCGTCTGTGGAAAAGATGTCTACTTTCCCAACCTTTACTCCTTTTAATGGTACATTTATGTAAACAATCGATTCTGTCTGTGTCCATGTGTAATCTTTGACAATCAAAGGCATTTCAAACCAATTTATAGTTAACTTTCGGTTGCTAAATTTCTGTGAGTGTGTGGTGGTAGCTACAACATTGGCGGTTGCCAAGGAAGAAGTAAAGTTGTTACAGCGAACGATTGATGTACTTCCTGTCTCAAAGTTTGGCGCTAGTTAAAGGGCCACTGCCAGGCCAGCCTACATTCAGATCCTAGAGGCCAGCTGGACTTGAAGGGTTGAAGCAAAGAATATCTAAGGGGCTATTTTTGAAGGTGTAAATCTGATAGCCCAACATTTTCACACATAAAAGCGATGACACGATTTCAAAGTTGTATTTATTAAAATAAGTTTGGCAATAAAATCTTTCAATTTAGAAAAAAGAGTTTGTGGCATCAGTAATATTATTGCATACATTCATTATAAAGAACAGAATACAAAACAAATGATTCTGATAGTTTAATTACTGAAAGTTAGCTTGGTCTTTCAGTAACAGATAAGCTTTAGGTCATTGAAGAAATTAAACCATATTGTTCATACTACAGAGGCTCATATATCTATCTATTACCAGACCTCACAACTGAGTCCTGTTTGCCTTTTATTTTATTTATTTTTTTACCTCTGCACAATTTTCATAAAACCACAATCACATTGTTGTAACTATGAGTGAAATTAACATTTGAGATCATGTACCGGTACATTCAATATCCTACAGGCAATATAATCAGGTGCTCATCTGAAAATTATAGCATTTTTGGTGGCCAATCGATGTGGGAAAAGTATGTACAATGTGCATGTACAATGAGAATACAGATTATTAATACATTACATTTACTAATAAACAACATTTTCAACTGTCAAGAAAATAAGGCATCTGGTGTCAACAGTCATCTAGTATGAACATTTTTACTTGAAAATCAAGCTAACTGCACTTTGCAAACAATGAGATATGTAAGTGGAGTTGTTATTCTGTAAGGAATGTACTTATGAAATTAAATAACATTTTGGTACATGACCATTTTTGTGTTAAATCGAATAAAACCGGATTCAAAACCATTATCAATTAATTAGGAATGGGGTAATAATATATTATTCCTATTAACTTTATCAATATTTTGATCACACAATATTCAGCTACATCACAAATAGCTAATAAATTAACAGTCAACAACATACAAATGCAGTTTTTTCACTTGATATATTAAGCAAAATATCTGGAGGTGATGATGTATCAAAACACTTGTAAGGCTGTTGATCCTGATGTTAACACTGAATCAATAGTAAATATTAACTGCTTGTTCATACCAGTTCAAAAAGGAAGCAAACATTGATACAATGACATTATACAAAATTGAGCACAGTACTGTATACATTCACAATGCCACATTGAGTAGTTTTAAAAGTTGAGTAGTTTTGATCAGTAGTTTTGATTTGTTTTATAGCAGACTTTGGACAATTTTTTAAATGACTGACAATATGAAAACTAATTTCTGAGCAATATCAACTACCAATATTTATGTCTGATGGGCCGAAGCCTAACTTGAGAAATGTCTTCCCATCGAAAGTAGGTGTGATAGATTTATTTGAAATTGTGAAAATAGTTGAATCACCAAAATATTGCAGTATCGAACTTAATGAAAAATAAGTTATCCAAACAATAAGATAAATCTACATGAGAAAAGCAAATTATTTGAAAATATATTTAGTTTACTTTAAGCTACTTCTAAAACTGCCTTCCCTAGTAGCAAAAATGGAAGCCATGCATGAAACTATAAATTGAAAAAAAAGTTTACTTTGAACCAAGGTTATTTTACCTTTATGCAGTAAGCATGTCTCTTAGTACTAATTATCATATTATTTTAACTTTCCAAAATGAAAACACTTGTTTCAAAATATAAAGAAATGTTGATTTTAAATGCATCATGTTTGCGCAAAAACAGGAAAGGCACAATAATCAAATGAGAGCAAAGCAAAGTGCACACATACTAAAAACATATTTAGAGCATAACATGTCTTTTATATAATAGGTTCATTTAAATGAGGTTAATCTGTATAATGTTTTATAAAGTAACTTCATTAAGGCTCAAAATACATTAAATATCAACAGTTTGAAAAACACACATGGATCGTTCCACGAAATTAGTGCCCTTTGATATTCTACGTAGAAATTGTGCACCAATATTGAATTTTAAAAGCCTGTTATATTCAATGATGTGCCCTTTGAATATAGACCACATGGAAAATTCAACAAATCAGATTTTTTTATATTAATATACTTGCTAAAGTGCCAAAATTCTGCATTTTGACATGTTCCTCCGTGCACTCTCTGACTTCCAGGAAGATTTTAACCCACTTAACCCTAACATTTCTCTAAGTTTTCACCATCATTGTAAAGCCCTAGTTATTTTGATGCTTTGACAAAGTCATTTATGAAGATTATTATTTATTTAATGTGATTAGTGATTAATTTCAAGGTTTAAAAAAACCTGTCCCTCATTTTAAGGTCAACTCTGTTACGTGAACTGAACTTTTGTTTTAATATGGTTAAACGATTCCTTTTAAAATAATTTTTACAAAAGAAACATTTAACATCTAATAGTCAAATTATAGTGTAGAAGCAGGTGAGCTGGTTCTACTCTTTTTGGCCATTTTCTGGTGTTTTGTGGTGGAAAACTGAGTGGGTTGAGCATAACATGTCAACCCTGTTACCCATAGATAAATTAGACAGGCTAAAAATGTTTGAACATTTATATATTTTTTTTGTTAAGCTTGCATTCAATTGCCCCTCCCTGTTGCACACACAAAGCTTTCATTTCCCCTGTCACGAGGGGATTTATGGCTGATTTAAGATAATCTTCAACCCTGTTACTTTCAAAAACAAAATCATTCACCAAGTTACACATCTCAAAAGGCATAGAATTGGTGGAACGACCCACGTGTATCGAATCATTTAAAAAAAATCTGGTTGTATAGCATACAGTACAGGTGTATGGCTTTGGAGCACCACTCCAGCTGAGACTCAACTTTTTGGGAAAAAATCATACTGCTCAAAAACTATAACAGCAGTTGCAAAAAATATCTGATTAAAACGTTGAATACGTTTGCATCCGTCAATCAGTTAACCTTTCCGGAGAGAGCTTACTCATACTGATGTTGTAATAAGTTATATAAACTAGGCCAGGAAGGTTGGGAGGAACAGTAAGGACCTCGTTAAGAGAATGACATTATTGTGGTCAACATGGCCAATGGTACCTGCCCAAAAATAGGGAATACATATGACATTAAAGATAACTTCAGTCTAGCTTTTGCATTGGCCTAAGCACGGGACAAACTGCTATCCAAATTATACCAAATGTCAAATAAAACAACAATGGTAAAAATGTAACCCTTCGTAAACCCTACGTAAAAACGTAAGGAAAATTAACCTACAAAGGAAGCATACCAAAGAAAATGACCAGTATAAGATAGAATAATGTTACCGATGGCCCATATTCATGTCCATATCACTCGCTGTTAACTGTTGGCTGCTGCCCTGCTGGCTGCCCTGTTAGCTCCTTTGTTCTAAGGAGCTGTGCCCCCTTCTCCTCCATGCAGACGTCACAGCCCCACACTGCCGACACCTCTGCTGTCAACAGGTTATAAGCTGTCTCAGTCATTCCAGTACAAACCCTGTGGAACCATTTTTGACATGAGGCCTCACACAGGATAGCTTCCTGGTCATCATTCACTTCATTCAGGCATATTCCACATGGAAACACAGGCTCCGTGGAGGAGTGGCTAGGCCTGTTGGGATGCATCAGTGTCTTATTGCTGGCCACACCACCACCTCCACTGCTTCTACTCCGCTCCAGGGGGGTTGCCTCCATGTGCCTGCCTGACTGTGGTGACTTCTTCAGGGAATCATTATTGGGGAGGATGATGCCGTTGATTTTCTCTGTGGTGTTAGGCTGACTTGCACCCTGACAAACCAGGGCGCCTCTATTCTTTGATTTCAGGTCAACAGAGTTTTTCTGACCCATGATCTCCTCTGAGCCATGGCTTCGTTTCCGTGGAGATGTGTTCTGGGATGTACTTTTGCTTGAATCCACCTCACTCAAGTCCTGTTTAGGTGTGGGTGTCTTGGACTGGGTAAAGCTGTTGTTTTGCTGCTGCCGGGTAAAACCAGGACTAGAGTCCATGCCGGGTCGGGAGAGGTGGATTCCCAATTGGGTTGACTGCTGATCTAAAGCTCGGGCCCATGTCAGGAGAAGTGCTTTGGGTCACATTATGCAGATGCACCTGATTCAAGTTGTCACGGGGACCTGGTCTAAAAGGCTGATTGGGTGGAAGTGGCATGTTACTGTTGTTGTTGCTTAATGGTGGATGGTTACCGTAATTGGGATTTTCATGGTACCCATAGTTAAAATCGGGGGGTCGACTGAACCCCATGCCCATTTGAGTCTGGGCAAAAGGGTGGAGCTGGTTTCGTATCTGGTAGAGACCCCTGTAAGAAGAGGGCATCCTATTGGGCATGAGGGGGTCCATCCTGGGAGGGCCATAGCCACTGAAGCCAGGGTAGTGCGGGTGGCCAAAATATGGGTTCCCAGAGGACAGAGGCTTGAAAGATGGTGTGTTGTAGTCGTCATCAAAAGGATTGGCAGCCACTAGGTGGTCGGCACTTCGGTTTGGTGGTGGAGCATACTCAGATAGGGGAGCGAAGGAGGGAGCCTGGGGACACACATGAAAAGGCAATGATAAAGGTAGTTGATACAGAACTATGCAAGCAGCGTCAAACACTTGACTTCTCAAAAGTTTGTTGAATAAGTGAGCAGCATATTAGTTTTTGAAATAGCATTGTTTGACTAAATGAGGTTGGTCAATATCGGAAACCACAAGATTTTCGACCTATAACAAATAAAGGGAATCTCAGAAAGTCAGATTACTGTGCTGGTATTTTACCTGTGTGTTCGACTTGCACTTTTTCTTGTCTGGGCTACCCAGCAGAACACCCGGCCCTCCTAGATCATCAAGCCCACCATCTCCACCTGAAAAAGAAAACCACACAAAATGTTATCCAGCCACATAAAATGCAAATTCCCCATTAAATTACAAGGCACACTTTTCACTCGGACAAACATTGTATAGAAAACGTACTTGCGGCATGTCAATCTGTTGAACAACACAGAACTTGTTGAATTTTCTCATTCTTGAATGGCTTATTGCATACACCTTCGTGAAGTCCACGTGCAAGCAGTGTCAGGATTACATTTTAAGAAAGGCTGGCTGCACACTTTTTTCTTGTTGTTTAAGCCAATTTCAATGGTCCAGTCACTGAAATCTTCTCCATTGAGAAAAATCTAAAATGTTTGGCAGCTTGCTGCCCCTATCACATTGTCCAAGTTGCCCCTATGATAAGCTGTAAATTCATGTAACCTAAGTATGGTATAGTTAGTATACTTGGTAACCAGAATCAAATTACCAGAACTCAGCAGTAACCTCCTCTCCTCTCCTCTCCTCTCCTCTCCTCTCCTCTCCAGGGTCTATTACCACAATAGATCAATATAGTGGAACTCTGGACCTAACCCCTTTAAAGTAGTGCACTAAATAGGCAATAGGATGCCATTTGGGGGCCTAACCCTGGTCTATAGACTGGACGCCTGCCTGAAGCTCCTGACAGGACGCCTGCCTGGAGCTCCTGACAGCCTCCCAGTCTTCATACACGGTCGATAACCAACATCCTTCTAAAGGCTCCTCAAGGATGCAAAGGTACATTAAAGGCTCAATCACAAAGAAGTGTTGGATTGTTATGCCACTACGATGGCTGGTATTTATTATCTACTGGGTCTGTGGGTCATACTGGCCTGGTATCTATTATCTACTGGGTTTGGGGGTCATACTGGCTGGTATCTATTATCTCCTTGGTCTGGGGTGTCATACTGGCCTGGTATTTATTATCTACTGGGTCTGGGGGGGGATCATACTGGCCTGGTATCTATTATCTACTGGGTCTATGGGTCAAACTGGCCTGGTATCTATTATCTACTGGGTTTGTGGGTCATACTGGCCTGGTATCTATTATCTACTGGGTCTGAGGATCATACTGGCCTGGTATCTAGTATCTAGTATCTACTGGATCTGGGGGTCATACTGGCTGGTATCTATTATCTCCTTGGTCTGGGGTGTCATACTGGCCTGGTATCTATGATCTACTGGGTCTGGGGGGGGGATCATACTGGCCTGGTATCTATTATCTACTGGGTCTATGGGTCAAACTGGCCTGGTATCTATTATCTACTGGGTTTGGCGGTCATACTGGCCTGGTATCTTATCTACTGGGTCTGGGGATGATACTGGCCTGGTATCTATTATCTACTGGGTCTGGGGGTCATACTGGCTGGTATCTATTATCTCCTTGGTCTGGGGTGTCATACTGGCCTGGTATCTATTATCTACTGGGTCTGGGGGTCATACTGGCTGATATCTATTATCTACTGGGTCTGGGGGTCATACTGGCTGGTATCTATTATCTACTGGGTCTGGGGGCCATACTGGCCTGGTATCTATTATTTACTGGATCCGGGGGGGTCATACTGGTCTGGTATCTATTACCAACTGGGTCTGGGGGGGGGGTCATACTGGCCTGATATCTATTAGCCTTTACACACAGCTCTGTAAATAAGTCAAACATGTAACAGTTGTTCAATGCTATTAAAACCACCCAAATCTTCTCCATTGGTGGGCTAGTTTGTGTAATTGTTATAAAAAATAAATACATTGCAAAACAGTAGGCTAGTTCTTGTATGATAGCCTACAGTAGGCTACTGGCGCATGTGATGAATGCTCATCAATGTTTTTCCTTTCTGTAGCCTATATCTTGTTATAAATAAATGGGGCCTACAGTTTATGCAACATAATTTGTCCTACAGAAGTAAAACTCAAGTCTCAGACAGTCGGTTAACTAAATTAAAAGACTGGTCAGATTTTGACTGCTGAGCTGTCACCTAAATGCACTTTCTATTAGTTCACATCAATAAGAAAACGTCAGCTGGGCTACATTTAAAAAAAGTTCGTGGCAGTTCCAAATTTGCGAACACATTCCTACAGTGAAAGTTTATGAACTTTCCACGTCAGCAAGGTAAATTAGATTTGAATAGTTTACGCAATTTTTTTTTAAAACTGAAAATGCCAGCGCTGTCTATTTATTTTGAGTTTCATTCAACACTTCAAAGGCCTTGAGGTAGGCCGATAAGCTCCTTCAAAGTCGTAATTATGGTCGAGACTTGTGTGCAGCGTATCGTGCCCCCACACACAGCAACATATCACGCGCAGAAGGGAAAAATATCGAAAACGCGCATTACCTCGGTTTCTTTTGAGCGAGAAGGTATCTTTATCCTGTTCTTTTGACATTACAGAGCTCCTTACATGACTTAAACGTGCAAAATTGTGCTGAAAAGGTAACAGTAGCCGACCGCTCTCTCCCCTCCAGCAGCAATCACAGCTATCTGTGTGACGAGGAAAGCTGCAATCGTTTGAAAAGTTTGGGAGGAGCAGACAAATTCAACTTCATTATATCCTGTGTCACGCGGGGAAATTATTGTTAACGTTGTATCATTGTCACTTATTTCTCCACGTGGCACATGACTGGCACTTGTAAAGCACGGTTAATATTAGATTTTGACAAACGGAACCTTTGTGTGACAGCACAGAAACCCCTCCACATTGGCATGTTGAGTGTGTCTGCACTGCAGCTCGATCAGAAGTGTCGCGGTGTCCTGCGATGAACCGCTGATGTAATGATGCGACTGGGGCGGAAGCTAATAAATCCAGTCTAGATATTTAGAGGCAATATCTGTCTGTCAAATAATTGTTTGAGGTTTATTACATACAGTTGAAGTCGGAAGTTTACATACACCTTAGCCAAATACATTTAAACTCAGTTTTTCACAATTCCTGACATTTAATCCTAGTAAAAATACCCTGTTTTAGGTCAGTTTATTTAATTTATTTATTTCACCTTTATTTAACCAGGTAAGCCAGTTGAGAACAAGTTCTCATTTACAACTGCGACCTGGCCAAGATAAAGCAAAGCAGTGCGATAAAAACAACAACACAGAGTTACATATGGGGTAAAACAAAACAAAGTCAAAAATACAACAGAAAATATATATACAGTGTGTGCAAATGTAGCAAGTTATGGAGGTAAGGCAATAAATAGGCTATAGTGAATACTAATTGTAATTATTTTGAACACTGGAATGATAGATGTGCAAGAGATGATGTGCAAATAGAGATACTGGGGTACAAATGAGCAAAATAAATAACAATATAGGGATGAGGTAGTTGGGCGGGCTAATTTCAGATGGGCTGTGTACAGGTGCAGTGATCGGTAAGGTGCTCTGACAACTGATGCTTAAAGTTAGTGAGGGAGATAAGTGTCTCCAGCTTCAGAGATTTTTGCAATTTGTTCCAGTCATTGGCAGCAGAGAACTGGAAGGAATGGCGGCCAAAGGAGGTGTTGGCTTTGGGGATGACCAGTGAGATATACCTGCTGGAGCGCATACTACAGGTGGGTGTTGCTATGGTGACCAATGAGCTAAGATAAGGCGGGGATTTGCCTAGCAGTGATTTATAGATGGCCTGGAGCCAGTGGGTTTGGCGACGAATATGTAGTGAGGACCAGCCAACAAGAGCGTACAGGTCACAGTGGTGGGTAGTATATAGTCAGTTAGGATCACCACTTTATTTTAAGAATGTGAAATGTCAGAATAATAGTAGCGAGAATTATTTATTTCAGCTTTTATTCCTTTCATCACATTCCCAGTGGGTCAGAAGTTTACATACACTCAATTAGTATTTGGTAGCATTGCCTTAAACAATTTAAACTTGGGTCAAACGTTTCGGGTAGCCTTCCACAAGCTTCCCACAATAAGTTGGGTGAATTTTGGCCAATTCCTCCTGACAGAGCTAGTGTAACTGAGTCAGGTTTGTAGGCCTCCTTGCTCGCACACGCTTTTTCAGTTCTGCCGACAAATTTTCTATAGGATTGAGGTCAGGGCTTTGTGATGGCCACTCCAATACCTTGACTTTGTTGTCCTTAAGCCATTTTGCCACAACTTTGGAAGTATGCTTAGGGTCATTGTCCATTTGGAAGACCCATTTGCGACCAAGCTTTAACTTCTTTGAGATGTTGCTTCAATATATCCACATCATTTTCCTTCCTCATGATGCCATCTATTTTGTGAAGTGCACCAGTCCCTCCTGCAGCAAAGCACCCCCACAACATGATGCTGCCACCCCCGTGCTTCACGTTTGGGATGGTGTTCTTCGGCTAGCAAGCAACCCCGCTTTTCCTCCAAACATAACAATGGTCATTATGGCCAAACAGTTCTATTTTTGTTTCATCAGACCAGAGGACATTTCTCCAAAAAGTACGATCTTTGTCCCCATGTGCAGTTGCAAACCGTAGTCTGGATTTTTTATGGCGGTTTTGGAGCAGTGGCTTCTTGCTTGCTGAGCGGCCTTTCAGGTTATGTCGATATAGGACTCGTTTTACTGTGGATATAGATACTTTTGTACCTGTTTCCTCCAGCATCTTCACAAGGTCCTTTGCTGTTGTTCTGGGATTGATTTGCACTTTTCACACCAAAGTACACTTCATCTCTAGGAGACAGAACGCGTCTCCTTCCTGAGCGGTATGATGGCTGCGTGGTCCCATGGTGTTTATACTTGCACACTATTGTTTGTACAGATGAACGTGGTACCTTCAGGCGTTTGGAAATTGCTCCCAAGGATGAACCAGACTTGTGGAGGTCTACAATTTTCTTTCTGAGGTCTTGGCTGATTTCTTTTGATTTTCCCATGATGTCAAGCAAAGAGGCACTGAGTTTGAAGGTAGCCTATCAGAAGCTTCTAAAGCCATGACATCATTTTCCGGAATTTTCCAAGCTGTTTAAAGGCACAGTCAACTTAGTCAACTTCAGACCCACTGGAATTGTGATACAGTAAATTATAAGTGAAATAATCTGTCTGTAAACAATTGTTGGAAAAATTACTTGTGTCATGCACAAAGTAGATGTCCTAACCGACTTGCCAAAACTATAGTTTGTTAACAAGAAATTTGTGGAGTGGTTGAAAAAACTAGTTTTAATGACTCCAGCCTAAGTGTATGTAAACTTCCGAATTCAACTATACTTACCACTCTCTTTTGGATGGGTTTTGCGCTATTCATATTAATTTCTGCTTAGTCATGATAAGGAGTTGCAGCCTAATAGGCCTAGCTACTACACTACACACTTCAAAAGTTGTTTTTACTGTAGGAATAGGCTACAGTATTTGAAAAAAGCAAAATATTGTACTAAACTAAAATAATAAAGTTGTTGTATAGGCTACACTATACCTTTTTTTGTTTCTTATTCACAGCCATCTGTGGATACCACACCATTTTTTTGTAGGTTACAGATCTCTCCAAACATGGGGTTAAAAAATCTATATTGACTTCTCTCATCCATTAACAGTAACTAATTGCTGCTTTTTCAGATAGGGGAAGACCAATGATTGGGTGGACTGTAATAACTGAAGATAATGCCACAGGGGCCTTTACTGACTACAAGAGGAAGCCTTCAATCTTTGGCCCCAAATGTTCAGTGGGGAAGACAACCATTGTCACAACATGGACCAAAGGACATGACCTCACAAGTGCACTCAAGGGTCCGTGTACATTTCATTATTTTGATTTCCGAGTGAAAATGGAGAGTGGGAAAACAGAAAATCGACTTGTTTTCTCATTTATTGTGTCAAAATTGGACATGGAATAACAGAAAACAAATAACAACAAAATATATTCCATTTTGGGATTTTTGTTTTTATTTTCTTCATACCGGAAGTACACACCCCCTCATAGAATATTCATGGTCTTAGGGGGGGTGTTTACAGCCTAGGTTGGTAGCACAAATAAAGTGTTGTGGTTAAACTCAAATATACTAATTCATAAAAAAACAGTATTTTTCGATAAAATGTTTTAAAAAGTATCATCTTTGTAAATGATATCATAAATAGGACTGGCGGAGTTATGTCACACATGCAGCTAACAAAAATATATGGAAATGTCTGCTCTACCCAAAATTACAACCAACTAATTGCAGCATTACCGCAAAAATGGAAGTGGCAAGTGGAAGGGGGAAAAAGTAAGGAACTTGTGGGTCGGCCCTGCATTAAATACCAAAATTGGTTAAAGAAAATTCTGATGAATCAAAAAATATACCAGTTTCATTTAAGGACAAAAAAATTAAAGCTGTGCCATATAGATTGCAAAATAGTTGGTACAGAGATGTACCGATTCCATGGCACATGGATTATGAACTGATATACGCAAAACGACGCCGGATTCAAAACGTACAATTGTTTCTATTAAAATTATTATACAACATTCTTGCAACCAATAGAATGTTATATACAGTGAGGGAAAAAAGTATTTGATCCCCTGCTTATTTTGTACGTTTGCCCACTGACAAAGACATGATCAGTCTATAATTTTAATGGTAGGTTTATTTGAACAGTGAGAGACAGAGTAACAACAAAAAAATCCAGAGAAACGCATGTCAAAAATGTTATAAATTGATTTGCATTTTAATGAGTGAAATAAGTATTTGACTCCTCTGCAAAACATGACTTAGTACTTGGTGGTAAACCCCTTGTTGGCAATCACAGAGGTCAGACGTTTCTTGTAGTTGGCCACCAGGTTTGCACACATCTCAAGAGGGATTTTGTTCCACTCCTCTTTGCATATCTTCTCCAAGTCATTAAGGTTTCGAGGCTGACGTTTGGCAAATCGAACCTTCAGCTCCCTCCACAGATTGTCTAAGGGATTAAGGTCTGGAGACTGGCTAGGCCACTCCAGGACCTTAATGTGCTTCTTCTTGAGCCACTCCTTTGTTGCCTTGGCCGTGTGTTTTGGGTCATTGTCATGCTGGAATACCCATCCACGACCCATTTTCAATGCCCTGGCTGAGGGAAGGAGGTTCTCACCCAAGATTTGACGGTACATGGCCCCGTCCATCGTCCCTTTGATGCGGTGAAGTTGTCCTGTCCCCTTAGCAGAAAAACACCCCCAAAGCATAATGTTTCCACCTCCATGTTTGACGGTGGGGATGGTGTTCTTGGGGTCATAGGCATCATTCCTCCTCCTCCAAACACGGCGAGTTGAGTTGATGCCAAAGAGCTCGATTTTGGTCTCATCTGACCACAACACTTTCACCCAGTTCTCCTCTGAATCATTCAGATGTTCATTGGCAAACTTCAGACGGCCCTGTATATGTGCTTTCTTGAGCAGGGGGAACTTGCGGGCGCTGCAGGATTTCAGTTCTTCACGGTGTAGTGTGTTACCAATTGTTTTCTTGGTGACTATGGTCCCAGCTGCCTTGAGATCATTGACAATATCCTCCCGTGTAGTTCTGGGCTGATTCCTCACCGTTCTCATGATC